CTGATTGAGTTCAAATAAATATCTCGACCCAGGTGTGACCCTGGAGGTTAATTTCTAAACATTTGCATATCCTGGATAGCACAATAGCAAAAGATTGAATTTTAGAGCATGAAACGAAAAATTTTAGCGACTCTCTCTGAGCTGATTGAGTTCAACTGAATATCTCGGCCCAGGTGTCATCCTGGAGGTTAATTTCGAAAAATCTACATATCCTGGATAGCACAATAACTAACGATTGAATTTTAGAGAATGAATCGAAAAATTTTAGCGACTCTCTTTGTGCTGATTGAGTTCAACTGAATATCTCGGCCCAGATGTCATCCTGGAGGTTAATTTCTAAACATTTGCATATCCTGGATAGCACTCTAGCAACAAATCCAGTGCAGCGCCAATAGTAGCAAAAATGTGAATTTTTACTCCCAATCCATAGTTATCCAACTTTCTGAGCCTATTGATTCTCGAAAATGAAAATGTTTCTGAAAGCCCTGGAGCGTGTGAATATCTTTGAAAGAGTCTGTTACATGAGAAGTGAGGAATTGAAGAGATCGAGAATGTAAAGGATAGGGAAAAGCCCTGTTCCAAGTTCTTCAAAGGCTCACCTTTCATCTATCCCCACAATTCTTCAAAAATAGATCCGAATTTCGAAAAATCTACATATCCTGGATAGCACAATAGCTAAAGATTGCATTTTAGAGCATGAATCGAAAAACTTTAGCGACTCTCTCTGTGCTGATTGAGATCAACTGAATATCTCGGCTCATGTGTGACCCTGAGAGTTAATTTCAAAAAATCTACATATCCTGGATAGCACAATAGCTAAAGGTTGCATTTTAGAGCATGAATCGAAAAATTTTAACAACCCTCTCTGAGCTGATTAAGTTCAACTGAATATCTCGGCCCAGGTGTGACCCTGGAGGTTAATTTCTAAAAATTTACATATCTTGGATATCATTCTAGAAACTAGTGCAGTACTGGGTCGGGAATAATTTCGTAAAAATTTCGTAACCTCCTTTCAAGCCTAAACAAGTCCTAGCCCTTTCCACCAAAAAGAGGCTTTTCATTTTTTTTTATTTCACTCAAATGCCAATGCGTGGACTCCAGTAAAAACGGGAAAGCTAGAAAAACGGGGGAGAAATGTCTCTTGAATGTCTCATGCATGGGTTCACAAATAAAAATCGGCCTCTCGGTTGGTGACTCGCTGTGACTACTCTAACGGTCAATAACTTGTTTTTCCATAACGACTAAGAATAAAGCGACTAAAAAAGGGTTTCCGTGCGCTCCAGCTTGAGGAATGGCAACACTTTCATGCCAGATTTCTTTAGTATTGAAGAAGAAAAGGCGCCAGTAGGTGATATGTCAACAGCAAGCTATTGTCTTTTCAATAAACTGAAGTATTAAATGCGAGGATTATGCATAGTGCGCTCCAGATAGGATGAAAATCGAATTTCTAATGCCTAGAGAGCATCATACGGTAAGATTTCGTCATCAAAAGTCTAGCTGGTTAAAGGTCTAGTTGGGGTAATTGAACCGACTTCAAAACTCGATACAATCTTTTTTTTTTCTTTTCTCAATACATGACATGACATCCAGATCGACAGTTTTTTTCTTTCAAAATTCTTTATTTACAATTCGAAAATAGCCCTAGCTCTCTGATCAATTTGTCAACGATTTGTAGATTTGTAGTCGGAGAATTTTGTCGATCAAAGTCCGATTCTCATTTTTCCTCGATTGCTGACATTGATGATTGAGAAAAATGGAGGACAAGTGGATGATAAATGTGAAAAATCTTTTTTGCAAAAGCCGCTTTAGTCATTGACTTTTGGTGGCGCTTTGTTTTGCACTCTGCAGCACCAAAAGCTCTCAAAAGCGCACAAAAATTTCTTGTTTTTAATGAAAGAAGGATGTTAGAAAGAGCAGGAAGAGCAGGAAGAGCAAGAGGAGCAAGAGGAGCAAGAAGAGCAGGAAGAGCGGGAAGAGCGGAAAGAAAGATCGAATCCTTTGATCAAATGATGATGGAGAAGTGATGGTGACTATTGTCTTCAAAATCTCTTCAAAATCCACCGAATCCCAAGTTCCAAAATTGACACCGAAATCATTAGCACTCTGTAATACACTCTGTCAAAAAATTATAGACGCACCCTGTTTTTTGCTAGTTTAGAGCCGGATATAAGTGCTAGTCCAGTGAAAAGTATTTTTTAGTTTCTTCAATGTAAAAAAACAACCCATGCAAAATTTCAAGTCATTTCACTCATCCAAAGTATTTTATCGTACAAAAAAACGTTTTATCAGCTGCCAAAAAATTATAGACGCACTTTTATTTTATCAAGAAAAAGTTAACAGAAATAAAAATAACAACACAAACCAAATAAATTAATAATGTGTGGCCCCTCGTTGCTTTAGTCCAACTTCAAAAAGACGTCTCGGCATCGAAGAGACAAGGTCATGGAGCGCTGTTGGCTGGAGCCGATTCCAGGCTACTTGTATGGCTTTCTTGAGTTCACTCACGCTCGAATATTGCTTGTTTCCCTTGTAGAGATCTCGAACAAGTGTCCCCCACACATTCTCAATCGGGTTCAAGTCTGGGCTGCAAGCGGGCCAAGTGACAGTGCCGATTTTGTGCGCTGTCAACCAAACTTTTGTGGAGCAACTTGCATGAATACTCGCGTTATCGTGCAGAAAAGTAAAGTTATTGCCCGGATTGTTGTTCAGATAGACGGCTAGATGTTTGTCCAACACTTGTTGATAGTCAAGCGTCATCCGGGTCGAAATAAACTCTAAGCCGACCAGTTCGCCGTCTCGAAAGGCTCCCCATACCATGCATGATCCACCTCCAAAGTGCCTCGTGCTGAAGACCATGCCCGGCTTTCGTGAATCCTTCCAATATCCTCCAAAAACATCAGCACCATCAACGTTGTACTTCTTTTCGTCACTCCAAATGATCTAAACATCAAATATATAAGAGATACTAGACAAACAGGCAGACAGACAGACAGACAAGCAAACAGACAGACAGACAGACAGACAGACAGACAGACAAGCAAACTGACAGACAGACAGACAGACAGACAGACAGACAGACAGACAGACAGACAGACAGACAGACAAGCAAACAGACAGACAAACAGACAGACAGACAGACAGACAAACAGGCAGACAGTCAGGCAGTCAGGCAGACAGACAAGCAAACAGACAGACAGACAAACAGACAGACAAACACTGCTCTTTTATACAATATTTATAGTTGAATCTTCCTTCAATGTCACCATTCATTGATGACGAGATTTTCAGATTTAATGAAAACTATTTTTTTCAATATGCACGGTTGCTCTTAAGAACAAAAATGATAGATCTCAAATCGTGGACTCCTTTGAATCGTTTCGTATCTTTCAGCAACACATTTTTTTTTAATTTATCAGGACTCAAAAAATCTTGATTAAACGATTCTGATGTTTCTTCAACAATCTCTAAAGCATTTAAAATTGCTACTTAAAAATTGGTAATTCTCTAAAATTTATCATATTCTGCCAAAAAAATCCCTTTGACAAATGAGTTTCAAAATCCCTTTGACAAATTGCTTAAATGATTGTTGTTTTTTGTCAAAATGAGTCGCCTAAAAAACTAGAAACTCGTTGAAAATAAGAAAATGGAAACTGTAGTTTGTACGCAAAAAAAAATGTAGTTTTAAACGCAAGTTTTCCGAAACTTTTGACCCTTTTTGACTTTGACGCTTTTTCCAATCCCAAGCCTGCCTTTCCAATTCAGATTTTCTTTCAAAACCCCCATCTGGAACGCATGCTAGCTTTTCCCCCGATTTCCGCCCAAACAGACAGACAGACAGACAGACAAACATACAGACAAACAAACAGACAGACAGACAAACAGACAGACAGACAAACAGACAAACAAACAGACAGGCAAACAGACAGACAAACAAACAGACAGACAAACATACAGACAGACAAACAGACAGACAAACAGACAGACAAACAGACAGACAAACAGACAGACAGACAAACTTTTTCCAATCCCAAGCCTGCCTTTCCAATTCAGATTTTCTTTCAAAACCCCCATATGGAACGCAGGAACGCATGCTAGCTTTTCCCCCGATTCCCCTCCTTCCCCCAATCACTCCATTCATTTCAATAGGTGCATGGGCTAATGTGGTGAAAGCGGGCTCGAAATCCGTCGCAAAAAATCCCATCGTAAAAACGGCGTGTCTAAAAGCTGGACAAGTCGATCTGGATGCCAACTTAGCGTTTCCCCCTCAATCAGCGCGTTGAACCGTGCCCAGTGAGGCGTGTGTCGATGAGTGAGTGCATCGATGGGATTTCCCTAGTTTCTGTGATTTTTCACCACTTTTTCACAAAACCAATCGCCAAGCTGGATGACACGAAAAAAGATTTGAGGGAAATTTTGGGGCTATCTGTCTTTTTTTTTTTTTGAAACTCGTCTCCGCCATAGTACCAAAGTACAGTACACCTGAGTGAAGAATCACTACATAGGACTCCAATGAACAGGCTAAAGCCCGTCGTGCATTCCATCATCGATCACCCTTTCATCGTTTTTGCTCAATCTTTGCCCGATCGCTTTCAAATCCTCGCGTTCACGTCAATCAACGTCAAATCGGTTAAAATCGAAATTTCGCATTGAAATGCGTTCCAATTAAGAAAGAAAAGCCAAAAAATTTAGGCAATTTTGGCAATCTAGGCAAAACTTTGGAAAGAATTGGAGAGAAACGGAGGAAAAGTGAAATGAGCTTTAGTGCAAAGACCGAGCAACAAACCACGCCCACTCCGAAATCCCCTTCACCCTGTCAAAATCCGCAAAAGGATATCAAAAATCCCACAAAACTCGCGGTTATCCTTTGTCGTGGTGAGCATTGAGCGGATTTTGATCACTCGCACTTCATCCATACACGACAAGTGCTGCGGAAGTGCCGCGTCAGAGTTCAACAACCCGGACACAAAAGCAAAAACCCCACGGCACTCGAAAACTCGACAATGGGCATTTTGGAATGCACACTACTATTTCTAATAGCAATTTTACGATCTGGAGAAGGTTTGAGATTTTCGGGATTTTTTCAGAAAGTTTCCCTCGATTTTTCTGAGTTTTCTCTTGGAAACTAAAGGTTTAAAAGAATTTTTTTGTTCATCCTGGATGTCAGTCTAGAAGATCTAGAAGATTCACATTTCAGGATTAGCATTGGATCACGACTCCTATCAGCTACCCCAGGGTACCTCGACGTACAAAAACGGCGCCGCTACCGTCATTCAACTCGGCGAGAAAGGTGAGAAAGCCCAGTGGCCGCTCGAAATCGATTTACATTTAGAATTTACATTTAAAAACCTATCAACTGAATATCTTTTATCGTATGAGAAATGGATATTCAGTTATTGAAGTGTCTCCAAATTACAGTACCCTGAATTTATTCAAATCGAAAAACTAACTTCTCTAAAGCCTATACTGACATCCAGATTGCCCAAAAAAATGTTTTAAATAGATAAATCTCTTTAGATTTTCTTAGAAACCCCTCGATCAAGATCCGCAATACAGTACCCCAAAAAAATTATTCAATCGGAAAACTAACTACTCTAAAATCTGTACTGACATCCAGCTTACCCAAAAAAATGTTTTAAATAGATAAATCTCTTTAGATTCTCTTAGAAAACCCCTCGGTCAAGATCCGCAATACAGTACCCCAAAAGAGTTATTCAATCGAAAAACTAACACCCATAAAATCCATAATGACCTCCAATTTGCCTAAAAACATCAACAAAACAATTCTCTTTCATTCAGTTTCCAGAAAATTGCTTAAAGTCGAATTTCCCCTCGATCTCCTCCAAAAAAACTCAAATTTTCTTCTCCAATTCTGTCCTGTTTTGGTTGTTTTTGTCGGCATCCCTTTGAAGTCCTTCAACGTCTTTTTTTCTCTCTTCTTCAATTCTGCCAATTCTGTCAATTTTGGCTAATTTTTGAGTTCTTGAGTGGGAAAGCTGAAAAGTGGGAAAACTGAAAAGCTAACAAAAGCTGAAAAGCTAAAAAACGATTTGAAACTCCAAATTCACTAATTTCCTTTTTTTCTAGAATTCTAGAATCCAGAATCGTTTCCATAATCTTTCCAGAATCGTTTCCAGAATCTTTCCAGAATCGTTTCCAGAATCTTTCCAGAATCGTTTCCAGAATCAAAAACGAAAAAGAGATTTTGAGAAAAATGAATGCAGAGTGAAAGCAGAGTGAAAGCAGAGTGAAAGCAAGGTTTTTCAGGGCGTCGATTAACGGCTCAGCACCAGCGCTGAGTTTTTCCCGCTTAAAACTTCAAGTTTCCGAATTTTTCATTAAATTCATCTAACATGACCTCCAGAATATTGAATGAAATTCTTAATAATTCGCGAAATCAACAAATCCACCAATTTCAAAGCTCAAAGTCCCACCATAGAAATTATGATTTTGAAAATTTGAAGTTGAATTTGAATTTGAAAATTTGAAGTTTTAAGCGGGAAAAACTCAGCGCTGGTGCTGAGGCGTTAATCGATGCCCTGAAAAACATATGCTTCAACAAATCCACATTTCAATAATCCACTAATTTAAAAGCTCAAAGTCCTACCATAGAAATTTGGAAATTGAAAATTTCCCATTTCCAGAGCTTTTTCTTTTGAAATTTCCAAACTGTGACTTCCATAGTTTTCGAAATTTCGAAGTTTTCGAATTTCCATCCAAAAAAACAATCCTTTAAAACCCATTGGCAGATATTAATGAGGTGCATCAAAATTTCGCGTATCTCATTTTTCATTCTCCTCGTCTGTCGATCGAGCTCGAGCAAGAGAGAGCCGGAAAATCCCGTCCTCACCCCCTGTCTTTTTCTTTATTCCCCCCCCCCCCCACAAATGAACAGGCTTTTCAGCTTATCAGCACTCAAATTGGTGATGTTTTTTTTCTTGGGAAATCTTGATTTAATCGATTTTTATAAAACCTTAATCTAGAATTTGGAAATAATTTTCTAAAAACTGTTGACAAATAATAAATAATAGAAAAGCTAGTGTGCCATCCAGAATAAAAGATTTCACAAAAAAACTTCCCATTTGGTGACTTGCTGACTTTGACATCTCGACTATCCAGTCTCCGAAAGCTACGAGGGTCCACTCGAACCGAGTCTACGACATTCAGGGCCACCCTTTGAGCACTCACGTCTCTGTCTACCACAGTGGAAGATCCGATGAACCAGTCACGGTTGTCCATGAAGAGAAATCCAGAGTTGGAGAGAAAGAGAAGGGACCAAGCTTCACTGACAAATTGGCTGGCCTCTTCAAGAAAGGTCCAGCCCATCTCGACTATCCAGTCTCCGAAAGCTACGAGGGTCCACTCGATGACACGAACCGAGTCTACGACATTGAAGGCCATCCTTTGAGCACTCACGTCTCTGTCTACCACAGTGGAAGATCCGATGAACCAGTCACAGTTGTCCATGAAGAGAAATCCGAAGTTGGAGAGAAAGAGAAGGGACCAAGCTTCACTAACAAATTGACTGGCCTCTTCAAGAAAGGTCCACCCATCTCGACTATCCAGTCTCCGAAAGCTACGAGGGTCCACTCGATGACACGAACCGAGCCTATGACATTCAAGGCCATCCTTTGAGCACTGTCTCTGTCTACCACAGTGGAAGATCCGGTGAACCAGTCATGGTTGTCCATGAAGAGAAATCCGAAGTTGGAGAGAAAGGACCAAGCTTCACTGACAAATTAGCTGGCCTCTTCAAGAAAGGTCCAGCCCATCTCGACTATCCAGTTTCCGAAAGCTACGAGGGTCCACTCGATGACACGAACCGAGCCTATGACATTCAAGGCCATCCTTACTGCTGCTGACACGAACGGAATTGAACGAGACACGTGAATCAGAAAAACTCGCATCCAACCAATTTTTTCATTTGCAAAGTCTACTGTGACATCCATAATAACTAAATATTCATTTAGTTTCCTCATTTCTTAAAGATTAACCAAATTCCAGGCACCCAAGACCTTTTCGATCGATGGATCTCGCAAGCGATGTCTGGTCTCTTTGCCGCTGTCGCACAGAAACAGTAAATCTCTCTTCAATATCTTTAGTTTTTGTTTCTCTCTTGTTTTTGGTGAAAAAAAAACAGTTTCAGCATCAATGACGTGAATCATTTCGAAAGAGAAATTCATCAGAATTGCTCGAAAATTGCTAAAGATGGTAAGCAAAAAAAATAAAGCCAAAAATCATTAAAGCTCTTAGTTCCTGATCACGCGAAATGTGTGGCCCGACTCTTGCGAGCCGCTGAAGAAACAATTAAAAAAGGTAAGCCCAAAGAAAGTCGCTCCCGGCATCGAACCAGGGTCATCAGCGCTAGCCAGCGTGAGCGCTAGCCTGCCAGCGCCACTTACCACTCGGCCACGAAAACATTGCTACAAAATTGTCTCAAAATTGTCTCAAAATTTCAGAGTTACCCAACTGCTTTCCAGCTTGAACTCTAAGCTATTCGGTTTCCCTAAAAACCCCACCAAAACACAGGATTTTCACTCAGCCCGCTTTTTGCGATCAAGAAATTTTTTTTTCTTGAGTAAAGCACAAAATTAGCGCTTAAAAAATCCGCCTCATATCTAAATCGACTGAAAAGTGGATTTGATTTGAAATTGATGGCTTTGATGGCTTTGATTAGAAAGGCGGAAGAGAAGAGGCGGAGAAAAGGCACTCACTCTCCAAATTAAACCCATAAATTTTCGTCTCAACGTAATGACATCTTTTTTTTGGCTTTCGGCTTCAAGCGCTTTTTCCCCTTTCCCCACATTGTCATCAAAAAATTTGGATGGATTTCTTGACTTTTTTTCACTCCCAACACTATCAATCATCCCGAGAAAGAAAAGCTTAACAAGAACCTGATTTCTGATAGACGGAACACTTGTTTGGGAGAATGACCGAAGAGATTGAGGACTGAGGAATGAGGATTGAGGACTGAGGATTTGAGATAAGATTTTGATCTCGATCTCGATTTTGATCTACAGTAGCGGACATAATTTTGGAAACTTTTGTTTTTTTTCCAAAAAAAATATCTTAGTAGAATCTGATTCGGTATGTTTACTAGCGAAAATATGTAGACCTAAAAAGCACGTAATAATCCATAGACAGAACTGCTGAACTTTTTGAAAACTATTATTTTTAATGCCTATAAACCTAGAGGACATAAATTTGGAAACTTTTAAAAACAACTCTAAATAATGACGTAACAAACCATTAAACTTCTAAATTAAAACGAAAACAAATAAATCAATTCAATACTTTGTGGAAGATCCTTTAGAATCAATAATAGTCTGGCACCGAGCGCTCATCGAAGCGACCAAGTTGTCGATGGCTGTTGTTTGAATTTCCATCCATTTCTTAGCCAAAAGCTCGAATTTTTCATTAAGATTATGGCTTTGAACGCCTGACAGGCTCTCTTCAGAACTTCCTATAGATGTTCAATATGGTTTTAGATCAGAATTCTGGCTCGGCCATTTCATAAAATAATTCCTTCCTGCTGAAACCAGTCCTTTACAAGCCGCGAAGTATGTTTGTCCTGTTGAAAAAGAAAGTTGGAAGGCATCAAGTGGAGAGCATTCAACTGGAGGGAAGTTTATGTTTCGATAAAATGCCCAAGCAAGCACGTTTGTCTATAATTCCATCAGTGCATTTTAATGGGATCATTCCGCAAGCAACTTTCTTTTTCAACAGGACAAACATACTTCGCGGCTTGTAAAGGACTGGTTTCAGAAGGAAGGAATTATTTTATGGAATGGCCGAGCCAGAGTTCTGATTTAAACCATATTGAATATCTATAGGAAGTTCTGGAGAGAGCCTGTCAGGCGTTCAAAGCCATAATCTTAATGAAAAATTCGAGCTTTTCGCTAAGAAATGGATGGAAATTCAAACAACAGCCATCGACAACTTGGTCGCTTCGATGAGCGCTCGGTGCCAGACTATTATTGATTCTAAAGGATCTTCCACAAAGTATTGAATTGATTTATTTGTTTTCGTTTTAATTTAGAAGTTTAATGGTTTGTTACGTCATTATTTAGAGTTGTTTTTAAAAGTTTCCAAATTTATGTCCTCTAGGTTTATAGGCATTAAAAATAATAGTTTTCAAAAAGTTCAGCAGTTCTGTCTATGGATTATTACGTGCTTTTTAGGTCTACATATTTCCGCTAGTAAACATACCGAATCAGATTTTACTGAGAAATTTTTTTTAGAAAAAACAAAAGTTTCCAAAATTATGTCCGCTACTGTACTTCCTGATAGCCAGCATTGAGAAATTGTTTTTCAAAAAAAGTGGGAACCGTTTTTATTTCCGAGAAAATGACTCAGTCCCGAACAGTGTATTTCCATCGATATTCGAAAATCATGAAAAATGAAAAATTTTATCGTAAATTCAAAGTATGACATCCAGATCGTCTAGAAAGTTGATTTGTTAAAGCCTAAAACAATTTTCAAGGCTATCCTTTGAAGGAATAGCTATCAAATTCCTCTTGTAACTCAACGAATTCTCTATTTGAGTGAAAATACGATCAATCTGGAAAGCACGTTATATTTTTAAATGGAAAAATGGACGCTATATTTTCTTGAATTTCTAGCCACCGCCATTTCGACGATGAAGACGATGACGACGATGAAGACGACGACGATGAAGACGACGACGATGACAACGACGACGATGAAGACGATGACGACACCGCATTCCTATCATCGATCATCATTTCACTCTTCCCGTCTTCACAATTTTCACAAAATTTCCCTAAAGCCAAAAAAAAAAGAAAAGCTGAAAAGAAAAATGATTTCTTTTCAGAAAATAAGAAAAGGTAAAAAAAAAAAAGGGAAATTTTTAGAAAATCATTTATTTTAGTGACAAACCGCAATTATAATAATCCAAATTTACGTTGGGAAGGCGCTTTTCGAGTGGCGAGAATGAAGAGAGAAACGAGAAAGGTTTATATTTATTGGGTTGGGGAGAATGAGTGGGCGCCGAAAATCAAAGAAATTTCTAAAACTTATAGCAGACTTTGTCAAATGATATGCGTTTGATATCCGTAGAAGGGTAACTAATTCTCTACAAAATAATATTTAAAAGAGAACTCAAACAGCGCCTCAACTCAACAAAGGATCATTTTTTTCACAAAATCGATAAACTGTCATCTAGAGTAAACGGTTGGAGGGATTTTCCTGAAAATTTGGTAACTTATGTAATTGAGTGTGCTCTATCTTTTTTTATATAAACACCAAAAGGAGGTTTATGTGGAAGAAACTGTTCAAGCAATGAGTCGCACTTTTTGTCATTTTTGATTAGCTGTGTTTGGGAATCCATAAAATCCAAAAAAAAGAAAAGCTTTGTGGAATCTCTCAAAAGCCATTTTGTAAAGAAATAGTCGACCATTTTGATGAAACAAAACGTGTATTTAAAGAAGGTTTTATGGGTGCAAAAAGTTTCTTCAAATTTCGGCGCCGCCCCAACCCAATATATTTGTTAAAAAGTCTCTTTACATTTCTTGAGTCTATATAGCAAAAAATCGCATCAACCAGATGTCGTATTTCAAAAATGAAAAGCTCTCTGGAAAGCACAATACTCTCTTTTTAGATAACAAGACAATCGAGCTACACTTTGCATCATGCTTATGATGAGCCACCATTTGCACAGGTTTCTCTTAACACTCCAGCTTTTTCCTTGACTCAATCATTCAATAAAGCTCTTCAATAAGCTCTAAAGCTCTTTTTTTAAAGTCATTTAAAAGCCTGAAATCTCCGCTACACAATGATATAAAAAGTTAGAAATAATATTGAACTTAGGGAAAGTTATAAGCCTTTAAAGCAAGACGATTTTATTCAAAATTCCCTGGAAAGCAAATGAAGAGTCTAATAAGAGCCTAACTCTGCCTATTAAACTTTCCTAGTCTCTGATCAGACTCTAGAAGGCTTATTGATCTTTCCCAGTCCCTGATTAGACTCTAGAAGCCTTATTAATCTTTCCTAGTCTCTCCTCAGACTCTAGAAGCCTTATTAATCTTTCCTAGTCTCTCCTCAGACTCTAGAAGCCTTATTAATCTTTCCTAGTCTCTCCTCAGACTCTAGAAGCCTTATTAATCTTTCCTAGTCCCTGATCAGACTCTAGGAAGCTTATTAATCTTTCCTAGTCTCTCCTCAGACTCTAGAAGCCTTATTAATCTTTCCTAGTCTCTCCTCAGACTCTAGAAGCCTTATTAATCTTTCCTAGTCTCTCCTCAGACTCTAGAAGCCTTATTAATCTTTCCTAGTCCCTGATCAGACTCTAGGAAGCTTATTAATCTTTCCTAGTCTCTCCTCAGACTCTAGAAGCCTTATTAATCTTTCCTAGTCTCTCCTCAGACTCTAGAAGCCTTATTAATCTTTCCTAGTCTCTCCTCAGACTCTAGAAGCCTTATTAATCTTTCCTAGTCCCTGATCAGACTCTAGGAAGCTTATTAATCTTTCCTAGTCTCTCCTCAGACTCTAGAAGCCTTATTAATCTTTCCTAGTCTCTCCTCAGACTCTAGAAGCCTTATTAATCTTTCCTAGTCCCTGATCAGACTCTAGGAAGCTTATTAATCTTTCCTAGTCTCTCCTCAGACTCTAGAAGCCTTATTAATCTTTCCTAGTCTCTCCTCAGACTCTAGAAGCCTTATTAATCTTTCCTAGTCTCTCCTCAGACTCTAGAAGCCTTATTAATCTTTCCTAGTCCCTGATCAGACTCTAGGAAGCTTATTAATCTTTCCTAGTCTCTCCTCAGACTCTAGAAGCCTTATTAATCTTTCCTAGTCTCTCCTCAGACTCTAGAAGCCTTATTAATCTTTCCTAGTCTCTCCTCAGACTCTAGAAGCCTTATTAATCTTTCCTAGTCTCTCCTCAGACTCTAGAAGCCTTATTAATCTTTCCTAGTCCCTGATCAGACTCTAGGAAGCTTATTAATCTTTCCTAGTCTCTCCTCAGACTCTAGAAGCCTTATTAATCTTTCCCTAGTCTCTCCTCAGACTCTAGAAGCCTTATTAATCTTTCCTAGTCCCTGATCAGACTCTAGGAAGCTTATTAATCTTTCCTAGTCTCTCCTCAGACTCTAGAAGCCTTATTAATCTTTCCTAGTCTCTCCTCAGACTCTAGAAGCCTTATTAATCTTTCCTAGTCTCTCCTCAGACTCTAGAAGGCTTATTAATCTTTCCTAGACTCTCCTCAGACTCTAGAAAGCTTATTAATCAAAGCTAGATCCAGCTTTTGTCTATTTCTGTCAAAAGTAATCTTTCAGATTGCTCGCTATATGACAAGCGGAGTTCGAGCCTTCCAGGGAAAAACGAAGAAAACCAGGTGAAATTTAGAAACAAAAGAACAAAGTCAAATTTAAAAACAAAGTCAAATTCAAGAACAAAGTGAAAACAAAAAATTCCAAGTGAAAGTTAGAAAAATATTGAATGAAAGATACTTTAGTTGGCAACAAATCTTAGCCGACATTCACACGACGGCTGACGAGGATCGAATGGAAAAAAGAAGAAAGGTAAAAAGGACTCATTGCTGGACTCATTGCTGGACTCATTGCTCATTCCATTAGCTGTGCTCATTCTATGATTGAGATAGGAAATCAAGAGAAGCTCTCCTTATTTTTCAGAAAGCTATGATGCGTCGTTTACGCTCATGGATCGACAATACACCGACAAAGCTCGAAGACGGATGGAGGACACAAGCACTCGAAATGGTCAACATTGCTTTTCTAAAAGATTTACCGGCTTTTACAGTAGTCTATTGTAATAGACCTATTGTCTATTGTTTATTGTCCCTGTAATCCTAAATGAAAGGCTATGACTAGTTAATGGTAAGTTAATGGTAAATTATGGTCCCATATTGCTACAGAACCTTGTCGAGAGTGGAGCTCATTTTTGAATAGACTGATTTAAAAGAACATTTCGTTTTTACCTTATCTGGAATGCACACTAAAACTTGCTTTAATCAAAATTAGATAAATAATGAATAGAAAAAAATAAATTCCGACAGCAACAAAGAAATTAAAATTTGAATCTTTTTTCTAGAGCTAGAGCTAGAAGCTAGAGCAACAAGCTTTCTAGAGTCTGATCAGAGACTGGGAAAGATTAATAAGCTTTCTAGAGTCTGATCAGGGATTGGGAAAGATTAATAAGCTTTCTAGAGTCTGATCAGGGATTGGGAAAGATTAATAAGCTTTCTAGAGTCTGATCAGAGACTGGGAAAGATTAATTCTCTTTTTATGTCTAAATTTTGTTATATGATGTACTCTAGATGGATGATCAACTGAAGAAAAAAGAGGAAATGCTAAAGAAAGCGAAAGCCACTGAGGATGTGCGTGTACCGTTGAAAGTTCTCCGAGAGGCGATCAAATTGGGAATGTCGTTGAGTGGACAAAATATGACGAATTTCGATAAAAAGACTTTACGGTGAGAAATTCGAAATTTTTAGTTTAGAAACTAAAGCATGTACTCCAGAACAAAGAAAAATCTTCGAATTTTCAAATTTCGACAAAAAGTCGGCAAGAAATGAGTGCGAAGTCGTGGCTAGACTTTTGAAAATGATAAAATGAGCTTGGGCTTTGATTTTTCGTTGTTTTTTGAATAAAATGCTTTCCAGATTTGCTGGGAATTGCTGGGAATTGCTGGGAATTTAATGAAAAAGAAATAGCTAGCTTTAGAAGTTAAATCAAAAAATTTTTAGCGTTGGCTCGCCGCGCTTCTTTTCATTGGTAAAAGGCGAAACAGAAGACGATATGGTAATTTGTTTATTTCGAAATTCTCAGCTATTGTGATTCTCCAGATTGAGGAAATTCGTTGGAAAGGTAAATTTCAGGTAAATCTCTTTTCCCCGTCACTTTTCTCAATGCACGAGGACGGATCAAAAACGGAAAATCTCTTCTCATTACCGCACTTGCTGAAAAGGTTGACGAAAAAGGAGCAAGACGCCTGGATGGATTTCATCGTTGAGGCATCGGGTAGGGGAATTCAAAAAGCAAAGCAAAAATCAAAAATCAAAATCATCGAGCTGAGCGGGGAGTCGAACCCTCGATCAATCGCGCGTCAACCTGGCTCGCTATCCACTTGACCATTGAAAAATTTCTTAATATTGAAATTCTAAAATATGCAAATTTTCGACTGCGTTCCATATTTCACGATAGATTTGAGATTTTTTGTGAAAATTTTAAAAATAATCGATAAATCGAGCAGATCTCGAAAAGTTTCAGAAAAGCTTAGAAATTTAAAGAATTTTTGCAGAAAAAAACGATTCTAATCTATTAGAATGTTGAAAATCGGCTTTTAGGAGTAGGCGACGCTGTGGAGAGTGCTCGTTTCGCGAAGAAAACAGCAAAAGAGGCGGCGCTGAAGACGCCCGACGGTACACCGCTCTACTTCAACAAGAAAAATTTGACCGATATGTGAGTTGGAAAGTAGCTGAATAGCTAAAGTGACATCCAGAATTGAGGAATAAATTGAGAAAATGGAAGAGAAGCGTTGTGTGAGCTGAGAAAAGCACGCAAAGTCCATCGTGACTCGGAGTGTCGAGAAAATTGAAAGCTCTTTGTAAAATTAAACATGCAAAAGCTAAAGTGACATCCAGAATTGAGGAATAAATTGAGAAAATGGAAGAGAAGCGTTGTGTAAGCTGAGAAAAGCACGCAAAGTCCATCGTGACTCGGAGTGTCGAGAAAATTGAAAGCTCTTTGTAAAATTAAACATGCAAAAGCTAAAGTGACATCCAGAATTGAGATATTAGGTGTAAAAAAAGGATAAACATTTCATTGTATACAGAGAAATTACAGGTATGGGAAGCAAGAGGGTGATAAAGTGGATTTGTTTGAGAAAATGGCTCACAAATATGATGATAAACAGGTGAGAGAATCGAAAAATCTGTGATATCTGAAAAGAAAGCTAAAGAAAAGAGCTAAAGAGAGCTTTAGGATTGAGATATTAACTGAGAAAAGCCGACTCATCGTCTGACTCAGATTACGATAGTTTTCTCTAAAGAGCACTCTTTAGAAAATGTTCTTAGCTACGATAGAAAACACTTTACACTAACAAAAAAAACATAGACAAAACAAAGTCTGTTTTTTTTTGATTAGACAGTTACTGTGATTGCCAAAACATATAAAAAAAGAAACTAATAGAGATTAGAGCTCTTTTTGGGAGTGGGACAAATGCGAGCTTTTTTTTTGCGCACTTAGCATTTGCGCACTTAGCATTTGCGCACTTAGCATTTGCGCACTTAGCATTTGCGCACTTAGCATTTGCGCACTTAGCATTTGCGCACTTAGCATTTGCGCACTTAGCATTTGCGCACTTAGCATTTGCGCACTTAGCATTTGCGCACTTAGCATTTGCGCACCTTTTTTTCCGCACTCAGCCCATTAGCGCACCTTTTTTCTCGTTTTAAAAAAGCTCTAAAAGCTAATATCTAATATTAACCAATTTCTATTCCAAAAGTTGTTTTTCTAGGTAATTTGAGGGCGTAGAATCGAAATTTTGACATATCAGAGCTTGTGGAATCGCTTCCACGAACGGAGTTATACAAAGAGTCAACAATTTTCAATCAACAATTTTCTGTAATTTGACCTAGCCGTTTTGTCTTTCAAATTGGTTTTGTAGATCTGAATAAGTGCAACAAAATGACACCAAAAATCATAAAGATTAAGATCACTTAGAAAAAAAGTTATGGCGAGTTGCGCAAATGACCCTGTTGAGCAAATAAAATGGCGGAAATTAGCCTACCTCCATAAAATCGAAGAGAATATCAAAATCGAAAAGATTTAAGTCATCACTTTCCTTGTCTGCATCTTCATCTGGCACATCGACACGCGTTTCTTTGTAACAACTCGGTGATTTCGCGATTGAAACATATAAATTCGATTGCTATCTTATCCAGGATAATCCTTCGACTGATTCACTTCTTTTCTTCGCGTTAAGATCGAATCCAATCGATGATCAACTGATCAACTTCTTTGGGATACTGGTGACCAAAATTGGGATACTGGTGGCCAAAATTGGGATACTGGTGGCCAAAATTGGGATACTGGTGACCAAAATTGGGATACTGGTGGCCAAAAGTGGGATACTGGTGGCCAAAATTGGGATACTGGTGGCCAAAATTGGGGTACTGGTGGCCAAAATTGGGGTACTGGTGGCCAAAATTGGGATACTGGTGACCAAAATTGGGATACTGGTGACCAAAAGATGTCGGTCACCAGTATCCCAATTTCTATTCCAAAAGTCGTTTTTCTAGGTAATTTGAGGGTTTGGAATTCAAATTTTGACATAACAGAGCGTGTGGAACCAATTTGAAAGACAAAGGCTGAAAGACAAGGCTAGATCAAATTACAGAAAATTCTCGATCTTTCTCTTTGTATAACTCCGTCCGTTCGCTTCCACAAGCTCTGATATGCCAAAATTTCGATTCTATGCCCTAAAATTACCTAGAAAAACAACTTTTGGAATAGAAATTGGTTAATATTAGATATTAGATTTTAGAGCTTTTTTAAAACGCGAAAAAAGGTGCGCTAATAGGCTAAGTGCGGAAAAAGTGCGCAAATGCTAAGTGCGCAAATGTCCGGGTGCGCAAAAAAAAGCTCGCATTTGTCCCACTCCCCTCTTTTTGATTATGTAAATGAATCAGTCCCTTTTTTTCAGAAATCCGCTCTTGATAAAGATGGCTTTGCTTTTATGACGAAAGAACAAGTGGAGATAATGTATGGAAAGGAAAGCCCGTATCATGATAGAGAGAGAATCGATGAGTATAAGAATTTCGTTGAGATGCGAGACGAGGATAAACATCAAAAGATCAGAAACGAGTGAGCTTCATTTATTTCATTCGCCAAAAAAGAAATCTATCGATTTTCTTTGAAAATCTTTCAACCTGGAATGCACTGCACATTTTCGAGAAAAAGTTTTCCGATCAATGAGCATAGAAAAGTTAGGTAGGATAGTGGAGCGCTACTCCACTTTTTTTCTCAACTTTACGACAAAACAAAATCATTTTTTTCGCAAAAATCCTTCAAACTGGAGCGCACACAACATTTTCTCAGCCTCAATTCTTCAATTTTCAGAATTCTTGAGATCGGTGACAAGGCACTTCGAGTAAGTGCACAGAATGTCACAGAGTTGGCCCGGAAACACGGAGCGCACCGAAGAAGCAAGCGAAACATTGTCCTATCGCCTATTGTCAACACTCCACTTATTTGTGAGTTTCAGAAAGGAAGAAGCTAACTGATTACATCAACATCTAGCTGATTACATCATGAAATCATCAGAAATCTCATAAATTCCTGTTCAATCAAATTTCTCTTTCAACTTCAAAGCTCTATTCAAAAATTTTTGAATTTTCTGCGAAATTGGAACGCACATAAGCATTTGAAAAGATTAGAATTTGAAAAAATCAACTTTTGAAGAAGGCACTTTTGGCGACAATGCTGTCGGTGTTGATTGGTGAGCGTAGAAATCGAAAAACGATTTTCCACAAAACAAAGTGTTAATCCTGGGTCGCACACAAGCCATTAAGGAAATAAAATCTGGCAGAATCAGAATTTCAGTCGCCTCTGCCATTATGTCGAATACATTCATCGTTCTCTCCCCAGTCGTCTTCTCTCCAGTCATTCTCTCGCCAGCCGTTCTCGGGCCGATTATTCTCTCGCCTTGGGTAGATAATTTACGTGACGGTCTGTAGCTTATCCATTTTCCAGGTGTTCATCCCAGTCATTCTCTCGCCTCGTGTCCTTTCACCGCTGATCGTAAATCCGCTTATTTTCTCGCCCGTCATTCTCAGGTTCGGTTTGAAAGTTTGATTTTCTGAAGATCTGGAAGGCACTAGGGAAAATCAAGTTTTCGGATTTCTGAATAATCTCATCTTTCAGTCCTCTCGTCCTTCATCCTTTCATCCTTTCTCCTGGTATCTTCAATCCATTCATTTTATCTCCATTCGTCCTCTCACCGTTCATTCTATCACCACAAGTAAGCAAAATATTAAAAACTCTCCAATTTCCCTCTCATCACACTAAAAAAACAAGCGCAACTGAGTTCAAGCGTGCCAGAAGGCGTGTGTTTACAGAGACCCAAACTCTAAGCCATAATCGGCTATCCTGGAAGGCAGTAGACCCAAAACTTAGCTTGAATGCATTTCAATCATTCATTTCAGGTGTTCACCCCAGTGATCCTCTCGCCATTCGCCCTCTCGCCCGTTATTCTCACTCCAATGGTCGGGTCACCCCTCGTTCTCTCTCCTTTCGTCCTTTCCCCAATCATTCTCTCACCTCAAGCTCTTTTTGCTGTTGTTCTCTCACCGTATGCTCTATCTCCATTAGTTGAATCAAAGCTGATCGCCTCGGAAGTGATTCTCTCGCCATCATTCTTGTCATAGTTTATCAAATATTCCTTCTAAACAGCTATTCGATCATTCTAGAGTGCAGAAAGGGTACTGTAACTTTTTACACGCTATAGAAACATTTCAATTTCTTAGTGGATCAGCTACCGTATCTTTTCGTACCCTTAAATAGCTAAAGATTACGATAAACTAGTGAAATTTTCATTTAATTTATTAATCCTGGAGTGCATGATAGCTGTTCGATCAGAAATTATCGAAGTTCGATGGGGGTGAGACAAATGCGACATTTTTTTTGCGCACCTGAACATTTGCGCACCTGGACATTTGCGCACCTTTTTTTGCTGGAAAAGGCCTTAGGAAAGGTCGTAGAGCTTCAAAAATGTATTCCTAGAAGGGAATCGTATGCGTAGATTCCGAATTTCGACAAATCACACCTCGCTGACACGTCAAATTTGGGCTAAAAGGCAAAAACTACGCAACTTAACGCTTTTCCGCAGTCGCAGTCCGCAAAAAAAAAGGTCGCATTTGTCCCACCCCCAAGTTCGATTAAAAATCAAAGTGCTCATTTATTCAATCCTTAAAACTTTCCTAATTTTATCGGGTTTTCAACTTTTCTTTTTTTCAATATTTTCAATATTTCACCAATGCAAAACGGGTTTTTTTTCCACCAAAAAAAATGGTTTCAAAAATTTCCTTCAAACTGCAATAAACGTTTATTTTCTTAAACAAAGCAAAACAAACAAAGGAAAGCACATAAAACCACATCCTCGATTTCAGATCAAATCTAAAGAAGCGATTAGATTAAAAAATTTCTACATTCAAACCTTCCCCCGTTCCGGGATGTACTTGGGTCCCGTGTAGCAATGTCCCAGTCAAGTCCCAGTCGAGCGGATCAATGTACATCACGCCGTAAGATCGATGCACATCACGCGATCAATGTACATCACGCCGTTATCCTAAAGCGAACAAGTTTATCACCATGGCAAGAGGCTATTGGCAGCAAAACAACTTATATTTGGGTCCCGTGTAGCAATGCGTCAAGTCCCAGTCGAGCGGATCAATGTACATCACGCCGTTATCCTAAAGCGAACAAGTTTATCACCATGGCAAGAGGCTATTGGCAGCAAAAACAACTTATATTTGTCGCCGATACATCTATTAGTTCATTAAATTAAACAAAGATCTAAGCCTTAAAGTCTTAACAAGAAAACCCGGTACCTCTTTGGCCAAGTCAAGCATTTCCATTTCCACCATTTCCAGCATTTCCACACGTAGTCGTAGTCGGGAATGTCCACGTAGGTGAGCGAGTCGATTTATTTGAGGATTCTGAATGAAAAACGTGTATAAAGCCAAGTAAACACAAGTACTACCTCGAGTATGCCTCAAACGGGCAATCATCCAGCAATTGCTCCAATTTTTCCCCCTTTCGACAAGCCACTTTCATCTCTATCATCTTGTTGTGCTCGTTGCTATGAAAGAGAAAACAATAAAAGTGTCAATATTCACACTGGCCAGGCCTTAACATCGCTACATCTCAACAAACTTTACCTTAAATTTTCCCCAGGGTAGCATTCCGCTCGTAAACTCAATCACCATGTACAGCCATCCCTCCAAAATCATCGTGACGACTCTGTTCCACGTTTCGGTGAGCGTCCCTAGAAAATCCTGATCATTGACAACGATAATCCCAACATACAATGAAGCGTAACGAGCTGTTTCACGGAATGGGGCTATACTACGCGAAAGCTCTTTGTCGTCGATTCTAAAAGAAAATAGATCAGCAACATTTTAAAACTCACGCAAACTGGCGACTCAAACCAAAATCGATGATGTAGATCTTGTGGAAATCTGGCTCGAAGCCAATCGCAAAATTTGATGGCTTCAGATCGCGATGCAAATAGCCACTCTAAAGTAATATTCGATTATTTGAATCTAATCGTGTTTTTAGCTATGAACTATCTAGCAAAATGATGATTTCATCTACTAAAAGATTTCATCTACTACTATTCAAATGCATCTAACACTCTATTACTTCAAAGAATCTAGAATATCAAGTATTCTCTTAGTATTTTAGTTGGATACTGTTAAAATTTCAATCAACTTTCTTCCAAATTTGATAAAGGGCAGTAAAAAACACGTTAAACAATGAAAAACATAAAAGTATCCAGCTGAAAACGGTATGAACATCTTAGGAAAGCGCTTTCAATGCATAAAAATCATTCGACAACGATTGAAAGCCTTGCTTATGCTTCCAAAACCATTCAACAATGATTGAAAGCCTTGCTTATGCTTCCAAAATCATTCAACAACGATTGAAAGCCTTGCTTATACTTCCAAAACCATTCAACAATGATTGAAAGCCTTGCTTATGCTTCCAAAATCATTCAACGATGATTGAAAGCCTTGCTTATGCTTCCAAAATCATTCAACAACGATTGAAAGCCTTGCTTATGCTTCCAAAATCATTCAACAACGATTGAAAGCCTTGCTTATGCTTCCAAAATCATTCAACGATGATTGAAAGCCTTGCTTATGCTTCCAAAATCATTCAACGATGATTGAAAGCCTTGCTTATGCTTCCAAAATCATTCAACGATGATTGAAAGCCTTGCTTATGCTTCCAAAATCATTCAACGATGATTGAAAGCCTTGCTTATGCTTCCAAAATCATTCAACAACGATTGAAAGCCTTGCTTATGCTTCCAAAATCATTCAACGATGATTGAAAGCCTTGCTTATGCTTATGCTCGACAAGTTTTAGGTATTGCACTCTCTTGTTTAACATTTTAATTGCACCGCGATGCCATCGGGTTTTCCACATGTTAGTCCACATGTTCTCCATGTTCCACACCAATATTTGTCCGCTTAGTCACGTCTCGAATTTAATCTTTGATATTGAATAGCTTCAAAAACCCAACACCTCGTACTCGTTGCTTTTTCAAGATCAGCAACATTTTAAAACTCACGCAAACTGGCGACTCAATCCAAAATCGATGATGTAGATCTTCTGGAGATCTGGCTCGAAGCCAATCGCAAAATGGTGAGCACCTCTCCCATTTGTGGCAAGTCAGTCTCCGCTTGGTTGAGTTTCTAGAAAAGAGAAAATTAAACGTAATTCGTTAAAAAAACAAATACTAGTTGGGTAAATGGGGCGGTATTAAGGCATTTGGGGGAGACAGAAACAGAAAATAGGTACAGAAAATGCTAATGATTGACCGATAATGAAAAATAAACTTTCGATTTAAGGCTAGACTTAGATGTGCTGTGTTCTCTGCTTGAGCCCACGATTCTTACCATTCTTCCCATCGCCTCCATAATTGTGATTTGTTTCAATTTGTTGTCCATCCGTTGTATCCTGTAGCAATCCTCGATCTCGTTCCTTGCCCTGTGTCCTCCTCAATTTGATCTGTTTAGACATCAACTTGCGGCGCATTTCGACGTCTACACACTGAAATTTCTGTCATTTTCTGGCTTCTTAACATTTTCTGTTTCATTTCAACGCTGACCCGAAGTTCACGCGTTTTTCTCGCCAACCCTTATCGGAATTCAAAAGTTTCAAAGAGAAATGAGCAAGCTGGATGTCAAAAAAAAGCAGTTAAAATGCTAATAATGACAGGCTGTCGATAATGTTTTTTGTTGGCCCCCACCAGCTTTGTTTCACAGCCATTCCCTCGCACTCTACTGTAATCCCTTTATTTCATTTCCATTTCAAATCCAATCCTTCACTCGCTCGATTTAAAGCCAACCCCTGAAATGGAAAGAAAACGGAAAAGTGTTTACTGGTCACTTTTTAAGTCGAAGAGTGTCTCTCTCCCCCACCGTCTTCCCATCTTTCTCTGTGTCCTCCAGAACTCCTTGAATCCCCGCCGTTCTCTCCCAACTTTTCTAGATCTCTAGATATCACTCTAATCCCTGCACACTGCTCATTCATCTCTCCCCCATCTCTCTTCTCTTTCTCTTTCTCTGTTTCTGTACTTTCTAGTGTCTGAAGCAGTCAGATTCTAGATTCTCGATTACCAGTAGGCTTTTGCTTTTGTCTAAAGATATGTGAGCTACATAGGAGATAGAAAATTTAGTTACCGTACTTTCCCGGTGTAGCTACACCAGAAAATGACGGTAACTAAATTCTAATGGAAATTGATGGCGAAGTAAACAAGAATCTCTATACACCGAGATATCTGGATGCCGAGCAATTCAGTCACCCAACTACTTCTCGTTCAATCGCCCTCACATCTCTCCCAACAAACTCAAACTAAACCCAAGATCTCAAACTTTTCAATCAACCAGAACTTTTCCATTTCCTCCATTCCCATCTCCATTTCCATTTTCTATATTTGAAAGTCCCCTCATCCCCGATTCTCCGTCCCCCCTTTCCACTATCTTTTTCAAGCAATGAGGCTGTCCGTGTTCCCAAAAAAAAAGCCAAAAGAAAAAAGGGAAAAGAAATTTACTCTTTTTTTTTTCCCTTTTCCCTTTTCTCTTTTCCCAAAATCGTTACTTTTTTAATCGTTTTCGTATCGGGGAAGAGAGCGATAAAAAGTCAAAAAAAAATGAGAGAAAAAGGACCACCCATCGAGTCCTTTTCCCTTTGTATTTGTGGATTTCTGTTTACCCCAGTTGCTCCCCACTCTTTCCTTTCCCTTCTCCATTCAGTCAGAGTTCCGATTTTCGTCTGTTGCCTTTTCCCCTAGAGAACACTGGGCTGTGCGCAGCTGGAACGGATATTTGATAACAGATAACAGATCGAATAAAGGCTCTTAAACTATAGTGTGCACTCCAGGATAAAGGTATTCGAGGCTTAAACTTAGATTTGAAGTCGAAAACGGGAGATTTTCTGTCAGACTCCTCTCAATGATCTCAAAGAGCTTATTTAGCTCTTTTAGCCTTTAGCTTATGCGTAAAATCACTTAATCAATGTTTTTTTTTAAAAGTTTAAATACTTACAGTGACATAACGGACATCCCATTCATCAACGCGGCGGTCAAGGGCAAGACAGGCTTCGGGGCTAGCAGCGGCGGCGAATCGGCTAACTGCTCCTCGACTGAAATAGTTAATCGAGAAATTATCTTGTAAAAAGTGTAAGCTGGAGTGCACTGTAGCTGTTCAAATGATTGTAACAGTACTCTTGTAACAATCTCAATTGTAATAGTTTTTTGGTAACTCTGTACTTTGACATGGGCTTCGGGTTGCATGGGAAATTTCCATATAAAATTAATACCAGATTTTTAGTATTCTAGATAGCTCAAAGTATTCTGTGCATTCCAGATTGGTCTTTAAAAATAAAAACTTATCGATCACTGTTCTATATCTCAAAAATATAGAGCCAACAGTTCACCACCTCAGCTTTGAAAAGTTTCATTTTTTCCCCGAAACGCTCCGAATCGATTCGAGAATGTTGCCTGCGTTCCAAGATCCCCAAAAAACAGAATCCCCAGTTTCCATGAGACCCAGATCAAAGCACAACTCTATTTACATCTTTGCTCAGAAAAAAAGGATCAAATGATTGAAAGAGAGACAGAGAAAGGGAGAAGAGGGGCAGGAGAGCCCAAATTCACAAACATAAACTATTGATCGCGTGCTGGGCGGGAAGAGGGACGGATAGGGGTATATCGCAGAACTAAGAGAGTGGGGGAGAGAGGAGCCTAATCAGACGTGGCGGTACTAGGCTGGACCAGCCAAGCAATGGAACGAGGAGATTGAGGCCTCCTCAACCACACCACACTACATTTTTTGCCCCTTGCCCGGCCGTGCTCCCCCTTTTCCATTCGCTCATTCATTCAGCCACTCCTCCTCATCTCTTTCTATTGACAAGGCAACTCTCCTCTCCATTGCCCGACAGAGGCCCATGATTTGGTCAGCAGTAGTCCAAAGATCTCTTAGATGGATAAGAATCGATATGATAAAGAAACCAAGGGTGCAGAGGAATGAATAAGGCCGATTACTGTAACTTCTAAGTGTTACCGTGTCTCCATGGTTACCTTTTGTCAAATCTTGACAACAATTTTACATGTTTCGAAAGATGTTACATTTTTTACAAGTTGTCAACCTAATAATACATTTGTGAAAAAACAACGGCCACTTAAAATATATCTTAATTGCCTGGAAAATAATCTGAAAAAAATTTCTCTATCGTTTTCGCAAACGACTGAATGAATGAGCAAACAATGTATGACAGGAGCCTCAAAGGTTCCTTTACTTTGCTCGACTTCTTTAGACGGTGTCAAAATGATTCGATCGTGTTTTTATGAATAACCATCTTCAATTACCCTTAAAAATGTGAATCAATGTGGTGGCAATTTCGAATTATGCTCTGACGCTTCTCGACAAGATTAACGACAAGGTTAATGATGGAAATGCGGAGGATATCGACTAGCTCATAAGAAGCGAACGCGCTCTACCAACACCCATTTGAAAAGTCGACAATTTGTTCGATTTGCCTTTTGAACAGGGCTTTGAACAGGCCGACTTCAAATCTCTATACAACATCCAGAAAAACTTCCTTTTGTCAGCTTTATGCTAGTACCTAGAGCTGAGACGGACATTTCATTTCATTTTCTCCGACAAATCCTTGTCAAACTCGAATCATTGTTTTCGGAATTTGTCTAACCACCAAAATCTAGTGTGACATCCAGGAAAACGATTCGGTAAAGTTTGATGCCACTAAACCCTGATGGGAGCAAGATTTTCACTCAAAATCTTCAGCTTTGAGAAATCGATTCTTTCGATTTCCTTCAGTAGGTTGCGTTTTGCTTTACACGTTTTCCCTTCCAGAAATATTTTGTTGCATTTCTCGTTGCGAAAACGGCGAAAAGGAGGCGTTCCCCTTGCCAAAGAGGAAGTTCTGGTCGTAGAGAGGGTTCAAATGAGAGGTTAAAAAGAAAAAGAGAGTCGGCTCGATCCTCGGCCTCATTTTTTTCGAACGGGCAACACGGAGAGATTCTCGAGAAATGCTGGAGTGCACAGGATCCATCAAAAAGCGCAGAATAGAGAAAAATAGAGGAAAAGATTATTGGTGAGCGACGCTGGGATGACTGCGTGCGGGCTTTTTTATTGCCGCGTCTCTCCCCGCATTTCTTTCTTTTCCCAATTGCTCTTTCTCGGGGGGCCTCGATAGGAAGGGAAGACCACCCACACCGTCCTCTCTCAACCAGCCATTCCTTACAAACACAACCCCAGGAACGACCGTTCATTTTCGCTTAGCTTGATAACTTTACGTTTATCGGTTATTAGATAGTGCGACTTTAAAAATTAGCCGTCCTGGATAGCACACTACGAATTGCGAAACGAAAAGAAAAGAGAAACGAAATGAAAAGAGAAAATGAAACGTAATTCGTTAAAAAACAAATACCAGTAACCAAACAAACCAAAACAAATAACAAATAACAAATAACAAATAAATGGGGTGGTATTAGGGCAGTTTGGGCGGGGGAACTTTTTGGCCACAGGTAGATCCGCCAAACCGAACTTTTTCTAGGGTAATTTTTTTCAAAACCACTTTTTCTAGGGTTTTTTTATGCGTTAATTCCGAAAATCACAATGAGACCTTAGAAAAAGACGTTTCAAACCGAGTTTCGGGGCTTCAAATTGCGCACTTCTATAGTTCTATACATGTTGGTTTTGAGCTTTCGCGAGATGGCTGCCTTCGACTCTTTCAAAAGCATAGCGATCGCTTTCAAAAGCATAGCGATCGCCTTCAAAAGCATAGCGATCGCTTTCAAAAGCATAGCGATCGCTTCTCGATGAGGGCAAGCTTGCATTTCTAAAAATACACATTGAATGCTATGCACCATTCGAAAGAGGAAAAAAAAACCGGAAAAAGAAAAAACTAGACAAAATCCACGTTTTACACAACACAACGTTTACTTTTAAATCGCATAAAAGTTAGTTCCAAAGAGACGCGACGATACTTTTCTCGAAACCTGTAGATGGATAGCAACAGATAGCGTCAAAAGAATCTTAGCGCTTCTATAGCGCTTCTATAGCGTACTTCACTATATGCGGCCCAAGCTATCGATTATTGGGACACTTTTCAACGTTAACACTAAAGCCAAAACCATTTTTAACCATTTTTAACCATTAAACAATTCTTTTCTAACTTAAATTCACTGGTAGAGGGAAAAGAAATCGAAAAAATATTTTTTAAGATTTTGACTCATGTGGGGGACCACATGGTGAAAATTTGGAAAAAAATTTTTTTTTTAAATTTTGCTTTAATTTAATCATAAACGTAATCAATAGGCTAAATTATGTGAGAAGAAGTGTTTTTGGCGTTTTTGGCTTCAAAAAAATCCTTTGAGAGACCATTTTTAGACCCTATTCCCTTTTGTGTATCCCACTCATCACACTGTATGAGCGCGAACTTTGAAGCCTCGAAACTCGACTTAAAACGCCTTTTCTTGAGCTTTTGTTGTGTTTTTCGGAATCTACGCATAAAACTAGCCTAGAAAAAGTGGTTCTCCTCAACTGCCTTTGCAAAAGTCTCTCAAAAGGGGGTATTAATCGCGGCCGGGTGACCGTAAAAAATTTTTTTACGGCAACCACCTGTTTTTTTTTATTTTAATATCGTTGATTTTATTATAAAAAGAATAAAAATCACCCGGCTAGAGTGATTTGATGGGTTTACAAATTTTTGGAGACACTGCAAGGCTTGGAAAGAACAAGATCGGTCACTCATCAGACACCTCAGCACAGTCTAGATCGATTGCGTTTTAGTTGCGCTACAATAAAAAGAAGTTGCGCTTCGATTGACGCAATTAGCTCTTTTTTTCCATTCGATTGTGGTTTTCTTTTGTTTCGTAACATAAGTTTTGTTGGCTTTCGAAAAAACAAGACTACTTAGAAGACCATAAGCTAGATTAGCTTAATGATCTTATTGATCATTTGCATTATCTAAAAATAAAATCTCGATCTTGAAAAAGGCATCTAGAGATGTTAAAAACCAAAAGTGTAGATCGAAAGTCTAAAGAAAACAAAAAGAAAACATAATGCCTGACTTTTGCTTTACTTTCGCACTTACCTTGTAGATGAACTATGCGAGCTGAGGTGTCTGATGAGTGACGATCTTGTTCTTTCCAAGCCTTGCAGCGTCTCCAAAAATTTGTAAACCCATCAAATCACTCTAGCCGGGTGATTTTTTATTCTTTTTATAATAAAATCAACGATATTAAAATAAAAAAAACAGGTGGTTGCCGTAAAAAAATTTTTTATGGTCACCCGGCCGCGATTAATACCCGATTAATATTAAAGGGTGGGGGGGGCTTTAATACCAATGTACTGTCTACTGCCTTAATACTGTCTTAATACCAAAAGAAGAAACCTTTTAAATCAGCAAATGACAACTTTTGTAAAAGAAATGGCTTAAAAGCTTAAAAAAACTTAAATGACTTAAAAATAAACGATTTTGAATCATTTTAAACTAGTAAACGACAGCTTTTTCGGGAAATTTTGAACAATCGATCCAAGGAGAAACATTTTTGACGAAGAAAAAGTTAACTTTTGATGAAAAATGGGCAAATGAGCTAAGAAAAAATGATTTGCTAAGATTTGAAACCATTTCAGACTAGTAAATGGCAGCTTTTTCGCGAAATTTTAAGTAACCGATCCAAGGAGAAACGATTTCAAATCATTTTAACCCCAAAAACTTCACCTTGCTTTCTTTCGCCATGTCTTTCGGCTCCTTTTTGTTGTCTTTTTCCATTCCAACCGATCGAGAAGACGTAGAAATGAATGAATGACATGAGAATGAATGATTTTCACAAAGAAATTTTTACTTTTCACAATTTCATATGTAAATTTGATGCTAAACAACGATTTTTAAGGGGTAGGCTAATTTCCGCAACTTTTCTTGGGTCATTTGCGGTCATTTGTGTCATTTGGGGTCATTTGCGCAACAGGGCCATTTGCGCAACTGGGTCGTTTGCGCAACTCGCCATAACTTTCTTCTAAGTAAGCCAATCTTTATGATTTTGGTCTCATTTTGTTGCACTTATTGAGATCTACAAAATGAGACCAAAATCATAAAGATTAGCCGACTTAGAAAAAAGTTATGGTGAGTTGCGCAAAACGACCCAGTTGCGCAAAAGACCCTGTTGCGCAAATGAGGCTGTTGCGCAAAAAAAAGTTGCGGAAACTAGCCTATCCCATTTTTAATGTTAATCAACAAAAAAATTGCATATTTATCTGCGGTATTTTTTCCTACATAAACTTCTTTTAAAGCTTTATTTTATTTTTCGCGCCCTACGAAAAAAGCTACCGTACTCAGAGGAGTGGTTAGCCTTGGAAAAACTTTGAAAACCTTTAGCAATCACCGCAAAAAGGCTCAACTTTTACCCGTTTTCATCAATTCTATCAAATTTTTCATTGAATTTCTAGAGGTTTCTAAAATTTTGGTTTTATAAAGCACAAAATCACTTGGCTTACACGTAAATTATCGTAAATTGTCGTAAATTATCGTAAATTGTCGCTTCAATATGTCGTGAAAGCTATAAAATTTGAAAATCAGACAATTTTAAGCGATAAATTGACTATTAAAGAAAGTAAATTGCTGGAAAAGCTCGCAAAAACTTCTTGCAAATGAAATTTGACTGATTTTTGACGAGTAGATCTTGAAAAATTGAAATTTTCGGGGGTGGGACAAATGCGGCCTTTTTTTTGCGCACATGGACATTTGCGCACCTTTTTTTTGCTGGAAAAGGCTTTAGGCAAGGCCGTAGAGCTTCAAAAATGTATTCCTAGAAGGGAATCGTATGCGTAGATTCAGAATTTTGACAAATCAGACCTCGCTGACACGTCAAATTTGGGCTAAAAGGCAAAAACTGCGGAAAAGCGTTAAGTTGCGCAGTTTTTGCCTTTTAGCCCAAATTTGACGTGTCAGCGAGGTCTGATTTGTCGAAATTCGGAATCTACGCGTACGATTCCCGTATATAGAAATATTTTCGAAGCTCTACGGCCTTGCCTAAGGCCTTTTCCAGCAAAAAAAAGGTCGCATTTGTCCCACTCCCGAAAATTGTCGCTTCAAAATGTCGTGAAAGCTATAAAATTTGAAAATCAGAGAATTTTAAGCGATAAATTGGCTATTAAAGAAAGTAAATTGCTGGAAAAGTTCGCAAAAACTTCTTGCAAATGAAATTTGACTGATTTTTGACGAGTAGATCTTGAAAAATTGAAATTTTCTCGTTTTTAACGTAAATGATCCTTTCTTTCTCTTGTTTTTGAGTTTTTCTTTATCATTTCATTAATTAAATCCATTTTTCAGTGATGTACGGCCACGGTGCTGGCGGAAGTGGCTACTCGATGGGTGGTGGAGGACCGTTGGGTGGAGGTGAGAGGTTTTTGAAAAGTACTTGAAAAATGAAAAGTAAGTTTAAAAAAATTGAGTTTCTTTAGCGATTTTGGGATGCTTTCTCATTATTTTTGCGATAAGCTTTGCGTATTTTCTAAAGATTTTATTGAATTACGTACATTTATACGCTTTTTCTACTGGGTTAGCTAAAAAAATGGTGTGCTAGCAAAAGCGCCGCGTTTTTTGCGCCAAAATCCTTTGCGCCAATTTCATTTGCGCCACGTATCCTTTGAGCCAAATTTACGCTTATGAAAATCACTGTAACAAATCACTTTTTCTCAACTTCTAACCAACTTTTTTCAGCTTTCTACTTCACAATTTTAGTTCTTACTGTTTTTCAATTAGAAAACGTTTAAATATCTATACAGACTCCCAAAAACAGTGATTTTTGCCTCCTGGATTGGACTTCTAACTTTATATCGATCTTATGCCATTTTCAGAGCCAGTGAAGGCGGAATAATAGAGAGCATCGTCGACGAGGAAAAACTGAAAAAAAAATGTCAATGTTGAATCAGAGTTGGTAGGAAAGGGTGTTGAAAAGCGCAAATTTGACGCAAATGATACGTGGCGTAAATAATTTGGCGCTTTTGCTAGCACCCCAAAAATAGCCTAAAATAGACTAGGCTCTAAAAATGTACCATTCCGATAGAAGCACCGATTCGATTCTATCCATAGCACTATTTGCGGCAAATAATATATTTATCAAATCATTCTTTATGATCAATGTTGACATTTTGATATGTTTGACAATCATTATTGAATAGATTTGGGTTCTCTTTGAAATTCGAATCTTTCTTTTTCAAAATTCGAATCTATTTCTATCTTTTTCAGCAAATCTGATGGGCCGAAAGGACAAGGGGATCTCCGTGGCACTCGAGCCGTATGGAGAATGGAAAATACAAGAGATCGGCTACGATGGGATGGAGAAATTCATCCAGTAAGTGTTTTCATGATTTAAACCCTTTGCACTAGGAAAACAAAAGAAAATGGCTAATTTTTAACCGCTTGCAATGTTGCAAGTGATTTATCCGTATCTTAGTCAGCTTAATATCCAAAAGCTACAAAAGCTTTATAACTTTCTATAATCTACTTTTTTTTGTTTAGACCCGAAAGTTTCGCGGATCACGTCGGGAAATTGGCGCGGAAGATCGACTGGCGCACGTTGGTCGACTCGGATCAAAGCTACGATAATCCAAATCTTTTGCCGGTTCGTTTTTGCCTCTAAAGGCTTTAAACCATAGATTTAAGCAATTCAGCATAGTTTAAATTGTTCAATTGTTTGTTTGTTCAAACGTTTAAATTGTTAATCGTAAATTAAAACTTTAAAACTTCATATTCTAAATATTTTATAAGCATTTTAGTACAAAATAAGAGAATATATTCAATTTTAAATAAAATAATAATTTTTTCATGCTTTTAAAGCTACGATTGTTAAGATTTACTTTAAAACTTCAATGATAGAAGTTATAATTTGTTTATTTTCAGGAAGACGAACTACCGGAAGAAGAGGATGACGAAGAAAAGCTTGAGGATGAGACGGAAAAGGAGAAAAAAGAATTCCCGCCTGAAGTCGGACCGTGGCACGATGTCGCCAAGAATTTACAGTCAGTTTTGTGGTGATTTGAAAAAGATTTGAGCTAAAATGCGATCCTGGACTTCACAGAGTTTAAATATACTGAAAGAATTCTTTAATCAACAAGTTTTTAGTCACTGAAAACCTCAAATTTTGATCTTATAAATCTAGAAACTTTGGTTTTCAGCTGTGATTAAAATTTAAACCTTAAAAAATATAATCCTGGACTTTATAAAGCTTAAAAATTCCAAAATGTCAGCGCAAGGTTTATTTTTTAAATTTAGTGAATCCCTTCAACACATCAACATGATGTTGGACGGTTTACAAGTAATGCAACATTTGGACTACCGTAAGTGATCCTTTTTGAAAAAAATCTATCAACTTTATTTTAGTGAAACCGTTATCGATTGGTGACCCAATTCAAATTAACGAGGCAACGCAAGAGGCGGCTGTGATTGCGAATAATGGGAAAGCGTTTCAATGGGTCTGGAAAAGAAAGGTGAATTGATGATTTCAAGAGAAAAATGGCGATTCTGGCTTCAATCGTCTCCGGACCTGGATTCACTAAATTTTCAATTTGCAACAAAATATTGCAAGCTTTGCAAGTCATCTAATACCGCCAGGGTTTCCCGGTTTGGATTTGGTTCTGGTCATGAACCTGGTTTAAAGTTCACATCAGTTTTATGAATTATAGCCATATTTAGGTTTCAAGAGATGCCTGCTGGCATAGTTACTCTAATTTTAATTACTTAACAAACACAATCTGCAGCTTGTGCATTGTAGAAAGCATATTGCAAATTGCGAGTTGAGCATATTGCAAATTGCGAATTTTGATGATACCGGGTTCAGGTTCACGATAAGAAGGTACAATGCAAGATCAATCAAATTCGAAATGAAGCTTTAACTCGATATTTAGGGAATTATACTGTTTAACAGATTAAATTATAGTTTTTTTTAACGGAGATTTATCTTTTTATTCGAAATGACGGAGACGTAAAAGTTGCTAAATCAAATAAAGTCTCAACTTGTTTTTACAATCATTCACTTTCAGGCGCTAAACGAGGTACAAAATGCGATTGAGGCGTCAAACGCGAATCGCCGTCATCTCGCTGTGGGTGGAGAGGCGTCAATAGATGAAACGACCAGTTTAACCAATCTTTTCTTTAGGTAAATGTTTGAGACGGCTAATTATTTTGCTTGTTTAGAGAAATCGAAGAACTTTGCCTGCAGTGGAGAATTCGGAAGACCGGCGATCATCTCTATGGAGCTTTGGGATACAAAAGATGTGAGTGGTCGTGAAAAAGTCAGACAATCGATGAAGAACACTTAAAAATAATAATTCGAATTTTTAGATGGACAACGTTTCGAGCCAGGTGAAATCTTCGACATCACTCGCCGCTCGGTGCCCATAAATTACAGTGACAAAGACGGGAAACTTCAACAAACAATACTACAAGTGAGTTTGATTGGTGTTTTGAAGAAATTTCTCACTTTACTTATACTTTTTCTTTCAATTTCATTTGTACAGCAGTCAATGTAGACAATCAGCTATAAGACTTTGCAAAAAAAAAACTAGTTGATGCTGCTGAAAAAAAACTAGTTGATGCCAAAAAGACAAGTTAAACTAGAATTGCTCACAATTAGCCTAATTTTTTACATTTCCTTTTTCAGATCTCTGTTCCAAACGATTTGATTCGCCGGAGTAAAATCTTCGTGTCAATATTTAAAGGTTTTTTGTGAGAAAATGATTTTTATGCTTTTAAAATTTAGATGATATGATGTCAAAAGCCATTCACACATCAGATGAGGCAAATCTGGAGTACATGAAAGTCGACATGAAGCAGGTGGACGTTAAGGAAATGACAATATTGATAAATTCAACATTTAGGTTGACAATCTCTACTGGAATGACGCTTTATCGTGGGCACAAGAGACATTGATTTGCCGGGATACATTTAATCAGGTTTTTTTCCATGAAAATTCATCTTAATCTTTTTTTACTTCAGCTGGCCACCGATGCGGTTCATCTAAAGCAGCGAATGTCCTCGTTTCGGGATGGAGTGCTCATCGTGGCCCTACACGACGATTACCTGTTGAGAATCGAGCTCAAGAATTACCCGTTTAAGGTAAAGTTTTGATGCTTGGATGTAATGATCGGGCCCACCACAACTCTGTGATTTGGTGAATGGCATTTTGCCAAGAATAGAATCACATCCGCACACTAACTCGTCATTTTACAGGCTGGCGATCTTCCGGACGGTGGTGATCCGTATTTGAATCGCGCGCTTCGACAAATGATTGTCAATCATCACGCGAAAAAGTTTGTTTTGGGAACTCTCCGGAAATCTCTCCGCGCATATACAAATCTTATCGATCAACGTGTGCCAATTTTAGCAGCTTTAAGCATTAAATTTATAGGCAAACATTAAAAATAAGTCTTGCCTGATAAACACATTACCACTCGCATACAAACTGGCCACATTTAGGGTGATTCGCTCGCAAATGTTCGTCGAAATGCCGCTGACGATGCTAAATGAACACTTGGATATGAGAGGACCGAATGCGTTCACACAATATGAAGTCAGTTTTAATGATTTGGCAAGGTTTATAGGATTTAAAGATTTAGAAATTTGAGACTTAGAATGATCTTTCTTTAGATTGACGAGCGAGCGAAGCGACAAACGTGTGTCTTGGAGAAGCTACTCTCGGTCGCGTCTCATCAGCGGCTCGTGAAATTGACAGTGGATACGCTAATTCGATACCAGAATGAGTGCAGAGACCCGCAGGTGCAGATTTCGAATTAATAATAACATCAATTAGCTGAATAGCTTGCCAGATGCAATTATAAATGTTACTCTTAAAATTGAGTCTTTTTATTTGTGGACTAAAATGCAATTTTTTTTACCTGGCTGTGCATAGGCGGGAGTTTAAGGCTGTGTACCGTGGTTAGGCATAATGAATAGACAAAAACTCTTTGGAATTCACACTTTCTATATTGCTTTATCCAATCATTTACTTTATTATATTCATTCAATTTTCATATTCAATTTTAGGTCAAATGGCGTTGGCTTCGATGTGCCCCAACGAACTCTCAAGTGATGATTCACATCGTCGATCCACATTTCGACTTCTTGATGGGAAGGTGCGCTAGTTTTAATTCCAATTTAGACTCGATTCTTTCCAGAGTCACTTCCTACTTGCAAATCGATACGGATTGTGTGACGCTGCGAACAAAAGACGGGAAAACGATCGATTGTTATCGAGATGCCGATCGATTATTCAACACACTCAAATATGTGGTGCGTTGTTTTTGTGTACCATAACAGGCTTACAACAAGGCGAGGGCTGGCAACACTTTAAGCCAGATTAAACTTCTGACCTGAAGCCGACCTTGCCCTTTTAAAATTTGCCTTTTAAGCCTTGCGTTTATCTAATCGAATCTTACCGTTATTCTGTATATTTTTTAGAACATCACCTACTTTTTGCAAGCGGCTGGGACTCTCGGGAAAACTGGTTGGGGATATCACGTAAGTTTGGATAAAGCTTTATTCACCATTCTCTTTCAAATTCAGATCCTTCACGGTAACAACAATGCGATTGATGTTGACGGGAATCCGGCGCCAACGCTTTACTTGTGCAATGCGACGAGCACAAGGTGATTTTCTTTTTACTATGTTCTGAATTTCCCCATTTTCCAGAGCGCTTCTCATTCAATTCCACACACATCGCAATCCGGAAATCAACGTCAAGAAGTTGTCCGATGATCCGGTTTGTGTTTCTTAAAGCTAGGGACGGCCTCAGAGTCTATAGGTGAAACTAAGCCGGTTCGAGGCGGACCCAGAGACTGTTTATGGACCAGATCAGCAAGACCAGAACTGGCTTCTGGTTGACCCTAGTCCTACAAGACCCGGAAAAGTTGCCTTTTGAACAGCTCTGCCGGTTAGGTCCACTATTTGGCTTGGCCAAAGTTTGGTTTTTCGGCCAAATATAAAGACCAGACTTTTGGGTAGCCCTACATATAGTAATTGAATTTAGACGCTTGTTTAGTGGTACCTAAACCCGGCCCAGCCTAGTTTTAAAACTTGGTTAGGCTGGAAAGAAGGCAGTTTCATTGCACTGCCATTTACATAAAACTTCATGCCCTGTCTAGACTATTAGATAAAATCGAGCTTTAACTGTGCTAGTTTTGAGATAATTAATACACTAGTACCTTAGAATCTCAGATATTTTATCGTATTCGAAGGTTTTCCATTTCAGAACATCGATCACCCGTTCATTCCACTCAACTACGAGAAACTACCCGGGAAATCTTTCTGCCGAAAATTCGACAATTTGTGCGCTATTTTGAAGGATTGATCGATCACTGGCAATACTATTTTTACGGGTATTCATCCTTTTTATTTTACTCTCACTCTTTTATGAACTCTGCTTGATATCGAATTCTTATCGTTGTATTTTGTTATTTTGTAAATTTGGATAAAATCTCATTGTTGCTGTTAATTTCGGAATGTTTTTCTGAGAATAAATTGTTTTATAGAGGAGAAATGTTTGAAAATCTCAATTTTTCTTAATAATTTAGGGTTTAAAGGGTGTTTGGGTGAGGATCATTAGTGATAAACTCAAAAAAGCGTCTATTTTTCCATCAAGTTGCAGTCTCGATCTGGTTCGGATCGGGCGCTCGACGAACATATCCAACTACAGAACTCGTATTCATGCACAGAATGCACAGGGGACGCGAGAATTAAGGCTACACCTTTTCAGTAGATTCCATGCTAAACGCCGCAATCAATTCGGAAATCCTAACAAGGGAACCACCACTTCGGATCAGGCCCAAATTTTGTGGGCTGTTAGAAGGGCTTCAGAGCAATATGTTTTTAAAAATTCAGCTTCAAAGCTTCAGATCTGCTCGGCTTTTTTTTCCTCGAGTCCGACCAAAGTAAAATTTTTTGCTTTTTTGAACTTTTGCATAAAATGCTAATATTTTGAAGATTCAAGCTGTTTTTTGAACTGAATGACAAGTTGAGAAGTTTCTAGTTTTCTAGTTTCATCTTCTAGTTGTTCAAGACTTTTCCTAGATTTTTCTTTTGGCAAGTAACAACATTTATTCAACGATGGGGAAAATCGATAAAATGAATAGGGAAGATGGATGGACAGAGCATAGACTCATGAAATCTCCAGGGCAACACAAAAGAAGCCGATGATTCACAATCGAGAAGATCAATAGAATTGGAAAGAGATTCACGGCTTTCAGAAGAGATAATACAAAGCGTTTAGCACCGAATTCGTGCGAAATCTGGAGACTCGGCGAATTCGGCTCATTTGTGGATCTGAAAAGTTGCCTGCAAAGCTTCAATCAAAGATCTATTCCTAAAGAAATTTAGACAAGAAGTCTGACTTCAATTCTCTATACAACATCCAGAAAAACTTCCTTTTGTCAGCTTTATGCTAGTACCTAGAGCTGAGATGGACATTTCATTTCATTTTCTTCGACAAATCCTTGTCAAATTTGAATCATTGTTTTCGGAATTCGTCTAACCACCAAAATCTAGTGTGACATCCAGAAAAACGATTCTGTAAAGTTTGATGCCACTAGACCCTGATGGGAGCAAGATTTTCATTCAAAATCTTCAGCTTTGAGAAATCGATTCTTTCCTTCAGTAGGTTGCGTTTGGCTTTACACTCTTTCCCTTCTAGAAATATTTTGTTGCGTCTCTCGTTGCGAAAACGGCGAAAAGGAGGCGTTCCCCTTGCCAAAGAGGAAGTTCTGGTCGTAGAGAGGGTTCAAAGGAGAGGTAAAAGAGAAAAAGAGAGTCGGCTCGATCCTCGGCCTCATTTTTTTCGAACGGGCAACACGGAGAGATTCTCGAGAAATGCTGGAGTGCACAGGATCCATCAAAAAGCGCAGAATAGAGAAAAATAGAGGAAAAATTCTTTGGTGAGAGACGCTGGGATGACTGCGTGCGGGCTTTTTTATTGCCGCCTCTCTCCCCGCATTTCTTTCTTTTCCCCATTGCTCTTTCTCGGGGGGCGGCGCCTCGATGGGAAGGGAAGACCTCCCAGTCCCTCCTCTCTCAACCAGCCATTCCTTTCAAACACAACCCCGAGGAACGGCCGTTCATTTTCGCTTAGCTTGAGAACTTTACGTTTATCGGTCATTAGATAGTTAAACTTTAAAAATTAGCCGTCCTGGATAGCGCACTACCAATTGCGAAACGAGCTTTAAACCCCTACCTTCAAATCTGATTTGACATTTTGAGAATTTGGGTTCGACTGAATAGCTTTTCACTCGTTCATTAGCAGGCTCTAAAATCTAAACGCTTCTAAATCCTGGATGGCACGCTAAAGGTTCCGCAAAGCAACTTTTGCCAAAGTTGCTTTTTCAAGGAAACCTTCCAAGTCTTGGAAATTTCGGCGCGAAATTTTTCACGTTTTTTGTCGCTGACTTGTTCGAAAAAGACTCGAATCATCGATCCTGGATGTCACCAGAGATTTTGACACAATTTCCCGATTGAAATTTGAACTTTTCAGCATTCAGCTTTTCAGCCCATCGCCCCCATTCATCCCCAACTTCCAGCGCCGACCCGTACAAAATCTCCCCAAATTAAAATCCCCATTTTCGGACTTATCCATTCAAACTTCCAGCTATTCACAAAAAATGCAGCTCACAGAGATTTGCTTTCAAAAAATTGTTGCGAAAATTTCAAGAATTGCAAAAATTTTTCCAACTTTTCGAGTTCACATTGATTTCCAGCAATTTTTTTGAGCTTTCTAAAACTTTGAAAGAAATTTTGGCCATTCTGGCACGCAGCACAGCGTTTCCACTTAAAAACGCGGCATTCCGATGACTTTTGTTTAACTCGAGCCGGTTCATTTACACACAACAGTTTCCTCATGTAAACCTTTCTCGAGATTTCGAGTTTTCTTCTATTCTTTGGCCCCAATGCCATCCAGATCGCTCAGAATTTTGAGATTTTCCGAGAATTTACAAAATACGGCCGATTTTTACGTCGGAAGCACTTTAAAGCTAACTCAACTACTTTTCAAAATCAAAATTTTCAACCCAACTTTCATTTCAATCTCTACCGTGACCTCCAGGACAGGCATTTTTAAGAATCTTAAATTCATTCGCCACCAACCTACCGTAGTTTTCGATTCAAATAGTTTTTCCCCATTGAGCCTAAATTTTTTTGCCTCTTTTTAAACGCCGATTGTCCTAAGGTCGACGTGGACATTCTGGAGAGTGCTAGGAAGTGCTAGGAAGTGCTAGGAAGTGCTAGGAAGTGCTAGGAAGTGCTAGGAAGTGCTAGGAAGACTCCGTCTTTCCGAAAAAATTTCCTTTTTCTTGAGAAATCTGAAATTTTACTGAAGCAAGAAGTCTTTTGACAAGTAAAAAGCTCAACTTTCACTTAATTCTTGAGTTTCTTGGCCTTGCTGGATTCTTGATGAATCCATCACCTCATTTCGACTTTATTCACTTGTGTGACCTCCAGAATCGACAAAAAGCTTGAAGAAATTTTTCGAAACATCAAAATAGCCGAAAATTTTCCACCAGCTCCCAACTCTGACTCTTGCAAAATTTTGAATTTGTGAACAATTTGCATTTTAACTGTCTTGATTACTGTAGTGCGTTCCAGATTGGCGTTTAAGCTTAAAATCGAACTCTCTTCAACATGCATTTGTCGCCGGCACCGGAGGAAAATATCGACGTGCTGAGCCTGTCCGTCTCTCCAACTCCATCGCTTGACTCAACGAATTCACAGGTTTCAACGAATTCACAGGTAAACGCCAAGAAACCTTAAGAATCATATGATAGATGGGATACGTTTATGCAAATTTTTCTAGCTTAGAGAACGCACAGGTACTGTAGTTGATCTTACTGTAGTTGATTCGACTTTGAGCCTTGTAGTCAGTGCAGAAAGGAGCTTGGGCTCTGAACATTTGCATAGCTACTATCTGGAAGGCACAGGATCAGATGGCTTTAAAAGAGTGACGCCTTTTCGTTGTTAGTTAAAAGTCGTACTATTTCAATGATAAGCTTGTTTCAGGAGGAGACGCCCAAGGTGGTGAGGCAATTTTATTGCCAGCGCTGTACCAATCATGGAGTGTATTCCATCCGAAAAGGCCACAAACCGTTTTGCCGGTGAGTTTTTGTTGAAAGGAAGTAGTGGGGCGGTGGAGGGGAATGTTTTATGGCTCTCAGAAACGCGTGTTCTCTGGGACACCAAATTCAGCCTAACCCAAAAATAATTACCATTTAAATTGTCGTGACATCCATAGTTTTCAAGAGTTTACTCAAAACTTCTCCACCATCCATCCCTGTCTTTATTTTGACTCGAAGTCATTTCATCCAATTACCTAAATTCATTTTTCAAAATGCTCCCAAAATAATCGGGCTATTTTAGGCTGTGACATCCAGAATTGAGGGCTGAATAGTTTTTTGAAAATCTGACTTCAGTAATTCTCGAGAAAATAACTCAAACTCTTTTTGATTTCCAACTGATTTAAGGAAAAGCTTTCCCGATTGCTGGCTTCTCTAGGGAAAAGTTGCGAAAAGAATCACCGCTTACTAAATCATTATTTTTTCCATTTCTAGCCAAAGAAACGACCCTAGCAGGCCCCTGATTGACCTAATTTATGGAGGAAGAGAGTGGCGCTTTGGAAACAGAGAAAGTTACCTTTTCGGCAACACCGCAACTCTCCGAGAAAAGAATTTCCGAGAAAGGCACTTTCTGAGAGAATAGATCTCTTATGTGACATCCAGCATTAACAAAAATGCAAAAATTATTTCTTTTTCCGATCAAAATAGAGAAAATTCCGAGCTAAATCCGTTTCAAGCCATCGGCCTGTGAGCAATGTTGACTAGGGCCAGAAATTAGGCTTTAGATCTTCTCTGTGCACTCCAGAATGATCAAAAAACTCGGATAAACAATGGAAATGATTTGCCCGACTCTAGAAACCCCAATCAATCAAAATTTGGGGAAGCAAGCGACTTCTCGACCGATTTCGATCCATTTTCGGCACTTTTTCCGCCGTGCTTTTCGTTTGATCGATGGCTTTTAGCTAGAGGGATCTCTTTCCCGAAAATCGAATTTTTCGCACCTCTGTAAAAAGTGTGAGCGTTGATGTTGGAGTGGGTCAACATAAGATATAAGAAATGACAATGGAAAAGAGATTTCGATGTTAAACGCTCGTGTGCCCTCCAGAATTGACAAAAAGCTTCAGAGAATTTTTGAAACATCAAAATAGCCGAAAATTTTCCGCCAGCTCCCAACTCTGACCTTTGCAAAAATTTTGGATTTGAAAAATTTGCATTTTGACTGTCTTGGTTACTGTAGTGCGTTCCAGATTGACGTTTAAGTCGATATTCGTCGTTCCTATTGTCAAATTTTGTTATCAAATCTCAGTGGACAGCTTCACGTAAAAGCCAACTTTTTCAAAATTGCTGAAAATTGACTTTTGACCTGAAATTCCTCATTCGTGACATCCAGATCGGCAAATGAAACTTCTCAATTTCCTTGTTCCGCGCAAATTCCCCCGTTTTGCCTTTGCGTTCGCGTTCTACTTGACTAGTTCGATGTGTTCAGCCAAAACGCGAGAAAAAGCGGCCAATCGAACGTTTGGCAGAGTGTTTTTGAGGGAAATGACAAAGGGAAAAGAGAAAATTGAGAAGTTGCGAGTTTTCTCTTTTTTTGACTTTTCTCTTTCCCCGTCTATTTCTCTCTCATTTCTCCTGTGCTCAAAAGTTCCCCCAAATTTGCGCGCAAATCCCAAATCCCACCCAGGCATTCTCCCCGGTGACACCCACAAGAAAACAGCCTCCAGTTGATTTTATGAGAAATTGATGAGAACGGCAACTTTTCTCGGGGATCGTAAATTGACAAAAACCAAATGCGAAATTTCCTTGATTCAATCAAATTTAACGAGCTGGGCTTACAGAATGACATCCAGTTTCGTGAGAATCATACAAAAATCACGGCTTTTCAGCAGTGGTGGGGTTTTTTTGGGCACCGGTTTAGTTACGCAACTCCTATTGCTTCGAGGAAATCTGGTGAAGGCTCGGCTTTTATTCAAGAAATCATTCTTGTGAGCTCCATAGTTTTGAAAAATTATTGAAACAAATTTAAATCTCGAATGTTTCAAGGAAAAATCAACGGGACTTTGAAATCTCTTGACTCTTTCGCTTTTCTCTATGAAAACTGGTTTTTCGATGTTTCGGTGTACTCAAATGGGCCAAGAAAAGTTCTATGAAAAGGGGGAAACAGAAAATAAACAGAAAATCAACATCAAACAAACAACCATTTCAAAATTGGCATTGGGATTGGAGAAGAGGATTCAAATTATGGAAATCCCAGGGTCGTGAAAGCTTTTTTGTACCAAATTAGACTTTTTTGTACGAAAATAGACTTTTGAAGACTTTTTCAAGTCTCCAAGGCAACGATTTCTTTTTTAAATTCGTTATTTCTAATTGAATGACGGGTATAGAATTATCATTTCATTATTATTTTCATTTCGACCACCCAAGAGGAGTAATTAGTCGGGAAGAATCTTCCTTTTGTTTCATTCCGGCTTTTCTTTTCAATTAAATATCCCCATGGAGACAAAGAAAGAAATGAGCATTCAAAAGTTTTCAAACTTTTCATTTAAATTCTTTTTTGGGGGACTTTTATCATTTGGAGGCTCCTGTGGAATAAATTGAAGGAAACAAATTTCTAGATTTTGAATTCTTTAAATTTTAAACTTTAACCAAATAATTCCCCAACCGTGCGTGCCAGAATGGAAAATGAACAAAGCAGAAATTTCGATTTCCGACAAAATTCCGCTTTTTAAGCCTCAAACTCAAAGAGGTCAAAATGAAGAAAATTTTTCGAATGTAAAACCCAATTTCTAAACTTATCAAAGCGTTATGTGACATCCAGAAGTGAGGAAAATAAATTCAAAAAAACATTCTTCAATTTCAGATGGGCGAACTGCCCATGCAAGGCGTGTCGAATGATCGAAACAAGACGACAATTGAGTTCTCATTGAGTTTTTCGAATTTGGATTAATTTTGGCTGTTCAGACGTACTCTGATCAGCGTAATAGTCTGAATCTCTCAAACCACTTTTCCACTTTTGCTAACTTTAGGCTGGAGAAGGCGCACGTCCGTTCGCCCACACCAACAATTGTCAATGGGAAGAAAATGCGGCAAGTTTTTCAATTAAATCGCCAAGCTGGAACGCACAAAACAAATCTAAATGCAAATTTTGACAATTAGATAAAAATTAAAATTTTCACCAAATCAGCGGATTCTTCTTTGACCAAATTCCTAGCTTCTATTGTAGATCTGAAGGCAAAAACTTGAATATTTCTTAAATCCTGGATGGCACAGAAAAGCTTGAAGCCATCAGGGGCCCGGAGTTCCCCAAACTGAGACACTGATCGTTGCTCGTCGAAAGAAAAACGTTTCCTTGCTTGAATCAGCTGTTTCGGTAAACATCGAACACGACTTTTCTCTTCTCTTTCGCGATTTCTGAACAGTCGAATGGGTGTTGTGCGTCCCAGAAAGGGTCTTCAGTTCTCTTTCAACCTTCTTCTCTCAAAGGACCGAGTGTTTTTGTGTGTCGAAGCAAACGCGTCTAAAATGTTGCACTTTCGCCTCTCCCCGCGTTTTGTTTGATTTCCTTTTCTCCTCCATTGGTTACATTCCCTGTCTCTAGTTCGATCTTTGATAGACTCACTTCTTTTCGGTCGTTTCCTGGCTGGATTTGAGCCAACAAATTTTCAGGGACCAACTTTGGATCGACTTTGACAGTTTCTAAGCACCCAGGAAGTTCGGAACTTGAAAATACTCTGTGATCTGGTCAAGCTGGATGTCACCCCATTATTCAGTGCACAGAAATTATCGAAATCTATAACTTTGCACAGTGGAAGTAGTAACGTCGTGTCGTCGGGGCACTGTATTCGCGAATCGACCCCCGTTTTTGTCACCACCCTGCCAAGTGACGTCCAAAACTTACAACCGAACGCATCTTTGTATTCATTTCCTTGTTTTTCGTGAAGAAATCGCTTCCGTCTCGAGAACTTTGTAGCTTTTGATTGAATTGGTGAAAATTCTTCTTAAAACTTCAATATTGCATTCTTTTCAGACAAAGGGAAAGACAGAAGACAGAAGATTTTTGAGAAAGATTATTTGGGGGAAAGTTTATAGAGGCTTTTAGGGGGTAAGGCTGATTTGGAATCGAAAGAAGAGAAAAAGCTTTGTTAGAATTGATTATCTATAGATTTTTACGTAGTTAGTCAAATGGGAAAAGATAAAAACAAAAGATTAGCCAAGTCAAAGCCAAGTCAAAAGCCAAGTCAAGGCCAAGTCAAGGCCAAGTCAAAGCCAAGCCAAGCCAAAGCCAAAAGATCTCAATCAACCTGGAATCTAGAAATCTTGGCTTTTGGCTTAAAACCATGGCTACTTTTATTGCAATCATTGTATCGACAATTTCAGTGCTCCAAAATGCACTCGTTGCATGGCACACGAAGTAATCAATAGCCTTCGCGGCCACAAGAAAGCCACCTGCCCATTCGAAAACTGTCCTTGTAAATTGTTAAGTTCATTTTTCTTTGATTTCTCATTTAAGTTCACGTTTTTTTCTCGACCAGTTTCACTCCTTATTACGCAAAATTGACGACTTTTCAACGATCCTGGAGCGCATTGATTTACCTCGAAAAGTTGCAACTTTAAAAAGATCCTTTTTGATCTTCGAGTCGATCGTGGTCGACTCTGTCGTGTTCCTGAAGCCGTTAAGCGTCCGATTTCAAAAATATCCAACTTTTTGTCGATCCTGGAATACACGCTTCTAATCTCCAAGGCTAGACACCCAAGCTTCGGCACTTTGAAATTCGCCACCAGCGCTCAGCTCCGATCACCCCATTTTCAACTTTTCAGCTCAGCCCTTTCGCAAAAAGTTGCTGCCTTTTCATTGCCAGCCAGCCTAGCAAATCTCTTTCCGGGTTACTGTAGTCTAGTCTACAAACGTCGAGTTACTACTGTGCTATCCAGATCGAAGGAATCTATCATTAAAGTAGCCGGATAATCACTATAGCTCCAGAAAATTGCTCGACCTCATTCGGGGATACCGTAACTTGGTCGCAAAATATTAGGTTAACATAAATTACCCATATCTTTCTCAGCTGTGCTATCCAGATCGAAGGAATATCTCATTAAAATAGCCCGATAATCACCATAGCTCCAGAAAAGCGCTTGATCTCATTCAGGTTACTGTAGTTTGGCCACAAACTATCAAGTCCACGTCAATTACCGTACTCTTGTCAAGGTCGATCACTCCGTGTATCTCTCTCTCAATTTTCCCCTCAAAAATTCGCCACTCTTTATCTTGACAGGTGTTGCCAAAAAAACTCTGAAGATTCGATCGGAAAATTAATGGATCCACTTTTACGACCGATTTTCGTCAGCCGTTCCCCCTCCATTTCCCCACTTTTTTTTTAGCTTTTTTTACTTCCCCCTTTCGTTCGGTCGGCCTACTTTTGCCGGGCTTTTTTCTCGTCTCGCCGATTCAGCAAGGCGGTAGGGAAAGACTTTTCGGGGACTGAGATTTTATTAATCAAAAGAGAACCAAACAGTTCTTTGCGCTTTTTGACAATCTTGGAATGCACGATGAGGGAATTGGTGGAATTGGTGGAATTGGTGGAATTCGGAGCCTGATAGACGCTTTGATATCTCTACAGTACCCCTAGCCCTAAGTAATTTTAGTACCGTACCCTTATTCATTCGAAATTCGATTTGATGCATTCCAGGATGGAAAATGCCGGAATTAGAAAAGTAGTCATCAATGAAATCATCGATAAAATGACTCAAACTCGAATCAGCCCCTTATTCAGAGATCGTTTTCGTTGAAACTTTCTAGAAAACTCATTTCTAGCGGATCTGGATAGCATTTTCAAAGACTAGATCAAAATCATGACGATTTTTCAGATTTTGCAGAAAATCGACTCCTCGATTCAAGTTTAAGCATTTTTCAAGTAAACTAGTCAGGCAATTCCCCATTCTTTGTTTTTTTCGGTAATGCTGGAGCACACACCACTCACCGAGCTGAATAGATGACGATAAAATGGGAAATGGGAGGGACAGTAGTCAGCCAGTCATAGTCAGCCTCAACCCTTGCGTCGGCCTTTGTCATCGACCTTTCCCCCGCCGTTTTTTTCGATTCTTCCGATTTGACCCTTTCCTTCCCCTTTCCCCATTCAATGCGATGACTCGTTTTTTTGGGTTCTTTTTGCGTTTTTAGGGAACGCTCCTACAGTAACCCGCCAGGGTCAAGTTAGGGAAGTTCTTGAAAATAACTAGAAAAAGCTTGCAAATAACTATAAATCTAGCTGAAATGCGTTCCAGGATCACTTGTTTAACAGCTAAATTTCAATGATTTCGAGTATTGACCATTATTTTTACTTCAAGTCAATTTGAAGCACTGCGTAAATGGGAAGTTTTATTAAAATTCGATCTGTTCGTCAAATTGTTGCCCAGATTGGGTAACGAAGCAAGTTGGGGAGTCACAAAAGCTTGGACCGGGTAAGTGAGGCGGCTGTAAACTTCTGTAAACGGCTGTAAGTTCAACTCTTTCAAAATATCTTCGTCCAATTGTTGCCCAGTGTTCTCTAGGGGAAAGGGGGGGAAGGGAACAGACGAAAATCGGAACTCTGAGTGAATGGAGAAGGGAAAAGAAAGAAGGGGGAACAGCTGGGGTAAACAGAACTCCACAAATACAAAGGGAAAAGGACTCGATGGGTGGTCCTTTTTCTCTCATTTTTTTGACTCTTTATCGCTCTCTTCCCCGATACGAAAACGTTGAAAAAAGTCGCGATTTTGGGAAAAGAGAAAAAGAAAAAGGGAGAGGGAAAAGAGTAAAGTGTTTCTCTTTTCTTTTCCCCTTCCCCCTTTTTTCTTTTGGCTTTTTTTTGGGGAACACGGACAGCCTCATTGCTTGAAAAAGATAGTGGAAAGGGGGGACGGAGAATCGGGGATGAGGGGACTTTCAAATATAGAAAATGGAAATGGAGATGGGAATGGAGGAAATGGAAAAGTTCTGGTTGGTTGAAAAGTTTGAGATCTTGGGTTTAGTTTGAGTTTGTTGGGAGAGATGTGAGGGCGATTGAACGAGAAGTAGTTGGGTGACTGAATTGCTCGGCATCCAGATATCTCGGTGTATAGAGATTCTTGTTTACTTCGCCATCAATTTCTATATACAAATTGATCTTTAACGTCTCATTTCATTGAGTTTTACCCGAGTTTTGAAATGACTTTATGCTAGAATTAATGAAGATAAACCTAATAAAAGCTAATAAAGATAATTATACCAAAATTCCCATAAGCTGGATTCAAGGAGTTCTGGAGGACACAGAGAAAGATGGGAAGACGGCGGGGGAGGGAGAGACACTCTTCCCCAGCCCTTCAGCCTTCGCCTCGGCCACGCAACAATCTGAGCCAGGCGGAGCCCCGTACGGCGGTAGACCTGTGTGCTCTCCAATTCATTCAATAGCGTCCCTCTTTGTGCCTGCCTGTGTTCCCGGGCTCGTTTTTTTTGACCCAGTCCTCTCTCGCCTCCTGTACCCTCTCCGTAAACCTTCTCCCTCAACCCTCCTCCACTCTGCAATCTTTCTAGTGCCTTCCAGATCGCCTTCCAGATCCAGATCTTTTCCCAGTTTTCTTGTGTTCTTTGAAACTTTTGAATTCCGATAACGGTTGGCGAGAAAAACGCGTGAACTCCGGGTCAGCGTTGAAATGAAACAGAAAATGTTCAGCAGCCAGAAAATGACAGAAATTTTAGTGTTTCAAAGTCGAACGGCGCCGCAAGGTGATGTCTGAACAGACCAAATTGAGGAGGACACAGGAGAAGGAACGAGAGCGAGGATTGCTACAGGATACAACGAATGGACAACAAATTGAAACAAATCACAATTATGGAGGCGATGGGAAGAATGGTAAGAATCGTGGGCTCAAGCAGAGAACACAGCACATCTAAGTCTAGCCTTAAATCGAAAGTTGAATCTGAATATTTGCACGACCCGGAATCGAACCGGGGGTTTGTCTTTGCAGCCAAACTCGCTAGCCACTAGGCCATCAGGCACAAGCTGCAGAATTTCCCCAAAATTAAGCCAATTTTCATTGTGACATCCAGCATTTACAATAATTTGGGCATTCTGTTTTTTGGGGATCTTGGAACGCAGGCAACATTCTCGAATCGATTCGGAGCGTTCCAGGGAGAAATTGAAACTTTTCAACGCTGAGGTCAGCTGTTGGCTCTATATTTTTGAGATATAGAACAGTGGTCTTTTATTTTTAAAGACCAATCTGGAATGCAGATTCCTGTCCTGAGTCGACGTCTTGAGCCAACGACAGGGTCCTGCTACAATCATTTGAACAGCTACAGTGCACTCCAGCTTACACTTTTTACAAGATAATTTCTTGATTAACCATTTCAGTCGAGGAGCAGTTAGCCCCTTCACCGCCGCTGCTAGCCCCGAAGCCTGTCTTGCCCTTGACCGCCGCGTTGATGAATGGGATGTCCGCCATGTCACTGTGAGTATTTCAACTTTAAAAAACATATAGATTAAGTGATTTTACGTATAGTCTAGAAGCTAAAAGAGCTAAATAAGCTCTTTGAGGTCAATGAGAGGAATCTGACAAAAAATCTTCCGTTTTCGGTTTCAAATCTAGTCTCCGGCCTCGAATACCTTTATCCTGGAGGGCACATTATAGTTTAAGAGCTTTTATTCGATCTGTTATCAAATACCCGTTCCAGCTCCCCACCACTCGCATTGACGACCTCCCCGCCGCCGCCCATCCTCCTGCCTGCCTCGCAAATGATGAGCTCATTCTCTTCGATGCCAGCCAGCTTCTCGGAATTCTCGGCAATTTCCTCGGTGTTCGCACCGCAACCGATCCAATCGATGCCGACCTCGCCGTGGACTGACCAGGAGATGTACTCATATCTGGTGCAGTCCAAGTTAACCCCGCAGCTCACCCAAACCGTTCCCCAGTTCTACCCGACACCTTTCATCAATCCCGACTTGGGATCACTCATGTCACTACTCAGTTACACGAATCTCTGTTTCCCCTCTCACAATTGAGGACCGGATTTCGGCTTCCTTAACCCCAACTTTTTTTTTGAGATTTTCGTAAATTCTGGATATCACCACATCTTTTGAGCAAAGTTTCTTAACCTGAAGCCATCGCAAAAATTCTTGTCGCCATCATCCAGTTCAGCCAGTGCTGGCTAAAAATCTCGTCGTCTATTTGCTAAAATTTGACAAGAGTTTTTCGGCGATAAATTCTGGATGTCACTTGAGTAGACTGTCACTAAAATGTCCCCAGTTTCTAAAGTTTGGCGATTTCTTGCCAAGACCCCTAGATTTTGACTGAATATCGTTTACGGCTCTCATCTCCGTGACGTCCCCCACCCACAATTAGCTATAGGCTGAATATCTTTTTATCTTTTTATCTTTCATCGGTTCTATAAGCACTTGGTGTTTTATAAAAAACTTTTCTATTGTTTTTAACATTTTGGTGCATTTTTTTATTGTGTAAAAACAAGAAATCGTCTCATTTCGGCACTAGATTGTAAGCGTTTGCGTAAAAACCGTCCAAATCTAACCAGGACTAGAAAGGTGGCCTCAAAAAGGTCACCAAGAATCCCCACACCACGCCCAATGTCTCCCAATGTATTCCACGATGTGCAAATGTGCAGTGTTTCTGCATGTTTCCCATTCTCTTATTCTTTGTAAACCTTTGATTTCATTCTGTATCATTTCATTTCACCGAAGACGTGTTCGTTTGAAGTCCCACTTCATGTGTGCCGTCGGGAGCGTGTCGATTTTTTTGTTTAGAAAATTCGACATCCTTTCTCCACTTTTTAGTCAATTAAGGGCCCCAGGACCTAGTCCTATTTTAAAAAATTAAAAAAAAAGAAAATAAAAGCAGTCTTAACCGCTAAAATCTCTTATTTAATCTTTTATTTGACAGGAATTTTTTTAAAAACGAAAATCCGATCTTGTTCGTTTCCTTTTTTCTATTTCTTTTCCCGGTTTAATTCCCCGATGCAATCATTCTCGGTTATCCATTTTTTCTCTACAATAATAGTACAGGTAGCTCTCATTCTTTGATATAACTTTTATCTAAAATCATCTTTCTTTCCTTTCTCTTCCTTTTCTCACAAATCAGTAGCTATTTCTGCATTGTTTTTTGATAGTCATGCGGATAAAATGTTGTTAAACAGAAAGAACACCAGACAGATAAATCAGACACACGCTAATTAATCAGGGTAATGAAAAGAGTGGAGATTTCTTGGTTAATCAAAAAATTGGATGTCACAACAGTTTTTGAAAAGAAAATCTAGAGGAAAATGGGAATTTGAGAAAGCTCAATTTTAGTTTTATTTAAATGGCAGTACAATGAAACTGCCTTCTTTCCAACCAAAGTTTTAAAAATAAGCTGGACTGGGTTTTGGGTACCACCAAGCTGAACTGTGACTTTAAGCTTGGAAAATCTGCCCGAGAATCGCATAATTCTATTTATGGCACCTCTGGCTGGCCTATGGCGAAAGTAGTATTAGCGAAAGCCAATGTTACGATGGTTTCAGCGATTTCGAAGTGGAAACGAGAGCCTAGAAGTTGAGCATCACGAAGGACGTCCTCCAAAGCTGGATGAGTCTTAACTTTTGCAAATTATCGAAGAAGATCCCACTTGCACCACTCGGGAGTCGTCGGAAATGTTCAATGTTGATCATAGCACCATTGAAGATCATTTACATTTGATTGGAAAGCGAAAAAGATCCGGAAAGTGGGTTCCACTTGAATCCCACAAAATTGCCCGTATGACCACTTGTTCAATTTTGATTCAAAAATCAAAAGCGCATTAGTTTTGGAAATAAATTGTTACTTCTGATGAAACGTGAATATTATATGATAACGTTAAGCGCAAGAACCAATGTCTATCACCAAAGCAAGCCCCGGTTGTCGCGTCAAAACCTGGCTTGCATGGAAAAAAGTTGATGTTGTGCGTGTGGTGGAACTATCGTGGATGGATTTATTTTGAACTGCTCAAACCGGGTAAAACTGTCACAGCTGAACTTTACAGTGAGCAGTTAGAGCCTGTCAATCAAGCTTTATCGAAATCTCGACATGACACTTCAAAAATTCGGTTTTTGCATGATAATGCAAAACTGCACACGGCAAAGATGACCCTCCAACAAATCGAAGAGATGGGCTGGAAACTTCTACCTCACGCCCCATACAGGCCTGACTTGGCCCCATCAGACTACCACTTATTCAGGTCTCTAAAGCAGTTCATCTCCGATCAGCTGTTCAAGGATTCCCAGGAAGTCGAAAATGCGGTCACCAACTTCATTGAAAAGTTTCATTTTCTCCCCGGAACGCTCCGAATCGATTCGAGAATATTGCCTGCGTTCCAAGATCCCCAAAAAACAGAATCCCCAGTTTCCATGGAACCCAGATCAAAGCACAACTCTATTTACATCTTTGCTCGGAAAAAAAGGATCAAATGATTGAAAGAGAGACAGAGAAAGGGAGAAGAGGGGCAGGAGAGCCCAAATTCACGAACATAAACTATTGATCGCGTGCTGGGCGGGAAGAGGCACGGATAGGGGTATATCGCAAAATTAAGAGAGTGGGGGAGAGAGGGGTCTAATCAGAGGTTGCGGTACTGGGCTGGACCAGCCAGGCAATGGAACGAGGAGATTGAGGCCTCCTCAACCACACCACACTACATTTTTTGCCCCTTGCCCGGCCGTGCTCGCCTTTTTCCATTCACTCATTCATTCAGCCACTCCTCCTCATCTCTTTCTGTTGACAAGGCAACTCTCCTCTTCATTGCCCGACAGAGGCCCAGATCAGCAGTGGTCCAAGGAACACTCCTGAAAGAATAAATGAATAATACCCCATCCATCTCCAATCTCCTCTAATTTCCCAAACGATCTCCATCACGATCAAAACACACTTCCCCTTTTTCCAATTTCATTTTTCCCGCGGATTTCCCTAGCTGTCCAATTCCCGCCGTTTCCCTGTTGAGGCCGAAACTCAGAATTGAAAACGGGAGATTTTCTGTGAGACTCCTCTCAAACAGAACTCTCTCCTTTCAGAAACTCCTCTCAAACCTAGTATGGGGGTCCGCCTGTCCCGAGCATCTCTCCACCAAGCTAGATCGCCAAGATAAAATTGGCGCGCGGCACCTGATTGATTCAATCGAGCGCCAAGGGTTATGTCCCTTTACGGTTGTGGTTCAACCATAGGATTTCCGTCGGGTTTGACTGGAGAAACTTGGTTGTGAAAGAATAGAATATGGGAAGATGATGATTGTTTAGTAATTACTTCAGCAAAATTACTTCAGGAATTCTTTGCAACGCTCAAATACAAAGCAGTAAGGCTTTAGTCTTTCAAAGCCAGCTAAACAGTCTACATATTTTCATGATTTTTCTTTTAGCATACAGCGAGTATTCCGGCCGTACTTCCGTCCAAAGAAGCCCCATATGATCCTAGCAAAGTTTGTTATTTTATACTCGTCAAAGAAATATCATGGCCTTTCATCATTATTAAAGAATTAAGAATATTGAAAAGTTTCTACTCAGAATTTTTGGATACTTACAAGCGTTTAGCAAAATTATCGCAAGTATCACCTTTTTCTTTTTAGGACAGTATTCTCAACAGAGCCAGAGGTCTCTTCAATCCAGAAGATTTCCTTTAAAAAACATTTAATCGTATAGTTTTGTGTGTCATTTCAATTTTGGTCTTAATAATATTCATTTTTATTTTCATCTTCTTCAAAATTGTTTGCCCTCTTTGAATGCATCTGTGATTTTCTCGTTCATTTCATTAATAATGTATAGGAGATTTAGTATAATAGCTTTCTACGTCTTTTGATGATAAATTGTAGATGTCGTAGCCGATGAAGGCTAGCCGATTATGTCCCAGACTTCTTCGGCTAGCCAATTAAGTCTCAGACTTCTTCGGCTAGCCGATTAAGTCTCAGGCTTCGTCGGCTAGCCGATTAAGTCTCAGGCTTCTTCGGCTAGCCAGTTAAATGAAATCTTGGGTTACACTTGTTCTATGCAAAGTTGCAAATATTACTAGTTTTGATCTATTTTTGCATTCATCACCTCTGAATGCTTTTTTGCATTTTGAGGCTTTAAATTTCAAATTTTATTGAGTAAACAAACATTAACATACCAAAACAAATTTGAAATTTACTTAATTCTTGCAGGTGTTGCTCTTGTGGCATCGGCTGTTGCATTGCAGGCTGGCTTTCCAGCAGGCGCATCGCCCGTTCACACATCCATTCGTGCAGTTGCAATGCTTGTGACCTGAAAGAAACTTAAAACAGGACTATTTAAAAGTTTAACTTCGGCCCCAGTCAGCGGTTGTGATCCTACAGCGGCTCGAAAACTTGTGGCACTTCTTCTAGCGAAAGGAAGTTATTATTGGCGGGCTCAAATTGATTCCTTGTCAATCTAATCTTTGAAAAATTAATTAGAAAGCAAGAATAACGCTCACCTTTGCTGTAGAATACCGTTAGCGGTGCAGATTTGATAGAATCCCTGGTTTTCTTCCATGACGACACCGAAGAGCGTTGAATGGCCGATTTTCGGACGATCCACTGCATCGATTGGCAAACGAACAGTTTGTCCGACCTCAACAGCACCAAATCTAAACACTAGCTTAAAAATTAATAAGCCCACAACTAAAATAAGTATCGAAGCAACCTGTTTTTGGATTTTTCAAGCATCTTTTCGGCCTGTTTCTGTTGTTGAAGAGCCGCTCCATTGCATGATGCGAAATTTCTTTGTCCCGTCGAACAAAATCTAAAATAATTAAAAGTTAATTAAGAAATAAAAACTTTTAAAATACCTCCTTCTTTTTCTTTCGCAATAGCATCTTCTTCGTCATCTGTCTCCGGAAAAAATGTTGGATTATCTGTGATTGCGCCCCGAATCGATTCACTCCATCAGGAACCTAAGCCCTAATTAAAAAAGAAGAAATAGAAAACGTACATCTTGTTCGTTGTCGTCGATGCTTCGCTCGGCATTCGATAGTGCGATTGTATCAAGAAACCCAAGTTGCATTTTTCGACCAAACTAAACAAGAAAAATAAACAATAATACCAAAAAGCCAACCATTGCTTCGTAAGGTGATCGCCCAATGCCTCGGTGATAACGTTGATTCTTCATTGATTGGACAATCGGAAGAATTCGAGCCCATCTTGTTGATTGTTGCTCCCTCAATTGCGTACATAGAATTTTCTAGAACAATAATATCAAAAAAATTAGTGCTATTAAATGTTTACCTCAACATCCTGGTTTGCTCTTTCTACAGATCCTTGACTCTGCGAGTGTCGAGGACGACCATGACGACTATTCGACAACTTGGCCAGCGGTTTACGAGTTCTTTGACCTAAAAGCAAACAAAATAAAGCGTGATAAAGAAATTCGATAGGACACAAAAGTAAAAGCTTATCAATCTGTTGGCGAACTCTGTTCCGTTGTCGGATTGAAGAATTGGGAATTGGGGCTCGAAAATAGAATTATGCGATTCTCGGGCAGATTTTCCAAGCTTAAAGTCATAGTCCAGTTCAGCTTATTTTTAAGACTTCGGTTGGAAAGAAGGCAGTTTCATTGTACTGCCATTTAAATAAAACTAAAATTGAGCTTTCTCAAATTCCCATTTTCCTCTCGATTTTCTTTTCAAAAACTGTTGTGACATCCAATTTTTTGATTAACCAAGAAATCTCCACTCTTTTCATTACCCTGATTAATTTGCGTGTGTCTGATTTATCTGTCTGGTGTTCTTTCTGTTTAACAACATTTTATCCGCATGACTATCAAAAAAAACAATGCAGAAATAGCTACTGATTTTTGAGAAAAGGAAGAGAAAGGAAAGAAATAAGATTTTCGATAAAAGTTATATAAAAGAATGAGAGCTACCTGTACTATTATTGTAGAGAAAAAATGGATAACCGAGAATGATTGCATCGGGGAATTAAACCGGGAAAAGAAATAGAAAAAGAAATAGAAAAAAGGAAACGAACAAGATCGGATTTTCGTTTTTAAAAAAATTCCTGTCAAATAAAAGATTAAATAAGAGATTTTAGCGGTTAAGACTGCTTTTATTTTCTTTTTTTTAATTTTTTAAAATAGGACTAGGTCCTGGGGCCCTTAATTGACTAAAAAGTGGAGAAAGGATGTCGAATTTTCTAAACAAAAAAATCGACACGCTCCCGACGGCACACATGAAGTGGGACTTCAAACGAACACGTCTTCGGTGAAATGAAATGATACAGAATGAAATCAAAGGTTTACAAAGAATAAGAGAATGGGAAACATGCAGAAACACTGCACATTTGCACATCGTGGAATACATTGGGAGACATTGGGCGTGGTGTGGGGATTCTTGGTGACCTTTTTGAGGCCACCTTTCTAGTCCTGGTTAGATTTGGACGGTTTTTACGCAAACGCTTACAATCTAGTGCCGAAATGAGACGATTTCTTGTTTTTACACAATAAAAAAATGCACCAAAATGTTAAAAACAATAGAAAAGTTTTTTATAAAACACCAAGTGCTTATAGAACCGATGAAAGATAAAAAGATAAAAAGATATTCAGCCTATAGCTAATTGTGGGTGGGGGACGTCACGGAGATGAGAGCCGTAAACGATATTCAGTCAAAATCTAGGGGTCTTGGCAAGAAATCGCCAAACTTTAGAAACTGGGGACATTTTAGTGACAGTCTACTCAAGTGACATCCAGAATTTATCGCCGAAAAACTCTTGTCAAATTTTAGCAAACAGACGACGAGATTTTTAGCCAGCACTGGCTGAACTGGATGATGGCGACAAGAATTTTTGCGATGGCTTCAGGTTAAGAAACTTTGCTCAAAGGAGATGGTGACATCCAGGATTTACGAAAATCTCAAAAAAAAAGTTGGGGTTAAGGAAGCCGAAATCCGGTCCTCAATTGTGAGAGGGGAAACAGAGATTCGTGTAACTGAGTAGTGACATGAGTGATCCCAAGTCGGGATTGATGAAAGGTGTCGGGTAGAACTGGGGAACGGTTTGGGTGAGCTGCGGGGTTAACTTGGACTGCACCAGATATGAGTACATCTCCTGGTCAGTCCACGGCGAGGTCGGCATCGATTGGATCGGTTGCGGGGCGAACACCGAGGAAATTGCCGAGAATTCCGAGAAGCTGGCTGGCATCGAAGAGAATGAGCTCATCATTTGCGAGGCGGGCAGGAGGATGGGCGGCGGCGGGGAGGTCGTCAATGCGAGTGGTGGGGAGCTGGAACGGGTATTTGATAACAGATCGAATAAAAGCTCTTAAACTATAATGTGCCCTCCAGGATAAAGGTATTCGAGGCCGGAGACTAGATTTGAAACCGAAAACGGAAGATTTTTTGTCAGATTCCTCTCAATGACCTCAAAGAGCTTATTTAGCTCTTTTAGCTTCTAGACTATACGTAAAATCACTTAATCTATATGTTTTTTAAAGTTGAAATACTCACAGTGACATGGCGGACATCCCATTCATCAACGCGGCGGTCAAGGGCAAGACAGGCTTCGGGGCTAGCAGCGGCGGTGAAGGGGCTAACTGCTCCTCGACTGAAATGGTTAATCAAGAAATTATCTTGTAAAAAGTGTAAGCTGGAGTGCACTGTAGCTGTTCAAATGATTGTAGCAGGACCCTGTCGTTGGCTCAAGACGTCGACTCAGGACAGGAATCTGCATTCCAGATTGGTCTTTAAAAATGAAAGACCACTGTTCTATATCTCAAAAATATAGAGCCAACAGCTGACCTCAGCTTTGAAAAATTTCATTTTCTCCCCAGAACGCTCCGAATCGATTCGAGAATGTTGCCTGCGTTCCAAGATCCCCAAAAAACAGAATGCCCAAATTATTGTAAATGCTGGATGTCACAATGAAAATTGGCTTAATTTTGGGGAAATTCTGCAGCTTGTGCCTGATGGCCTAGTGGCTAGCGAGTTTGGCTGCAAAGACAAACCCCCGGTTCGATTCCGGGTCGCGCAAATATTCAGATTCAACTTTCGATTTAAGGCTAGACTTAGATGTGCTGTGTTCTCTGCTTGAGCCCACGATTCTTACCATTCTTCCCATCGCCTCCATAATTGTGATTTGTTTCAATTTGTTGTCCATTCGTTGTATCCTGTAGCAATCCTCGCTCTCGTTCCTTGCCCTGTGTCCTCCTCAATTTGATCTGTTCAGACATCACCTTGCGGCGCTCTCCGACGTTTGCACACTAAAATTTCTGTCATTTTCTGGCTGCTGAACATTTTCTGTTTCATTTCAACGCTGACCCGAAGTTCACGCGTTTTTCTCGCCAACCCTTATCGGAATTCAAAAGTTTCAAAGAGAAATGAGCAAGCTGGATGTCACAAAAGCAGTTAAAATGATAATAATGATAGGGTGTCGATATTTTTTTGTTGGTCCCCACCAGCTTTGTTTCACAGTCATTCCCTCGCACTCTACTGTAGTCCCTTTATTTCATTTCCATTTCAATTCCAATCCTTCACCCGCCCGATTTAAAGTCAACCCCTGAAATGGAAAGAAAACAGAAAATTGTTTACTGGATGGTCACTTTTTTAAGTCTCCGTCCTTCGTCTCTGTCCTTCTCCGCTTCCCCTCAATGAACACAAAAAAACTGGGAAAAGATCTGGATCTGGAAGGCAATCTGGAAGGCACTAGAAAGATTGCAGAGTGGAGGAGGGTTGAGGGAGAAGGTTTACGGAGAGGGTACAGGAGGCGAGAGAGGACTGGGTCAAAAAAAACGAGCCCGGGAACACAGGCAGGCACAAAGAGGGACGCTATTGAATGAATTGGAGAGCACACAGGTCTACCGCCGTACGGGGCTCCGCCTGGCTCAGATTGTTGCGTGGCCGAGGCGAAGGCTGAAGGGCTGGGGAAGAGTGTCTCTCCCTCCCCCGCCGTCTTCCCATCTTTCTCTGTGTCCTCCAGAACTCCTTGAATCCAGCTTATGGGAACTTTGGTATAATTATCTTTATTAGCTTTTATTAGGTTTATCTTCATTAATTCTAGCTTAAAGTCATTTCAAAACTCGGGTAAAACTCAATGAAATGAGACGTTAAAGATCAATTTATATATAGAAATTGATGGCGAAGTAAACAAGAATCTCTATACACCGAGATATCTGGATGCCGAGCAATTCAGTCACCCAACTACTTCTCGTTCAATCACCCTCACATCTCTCCCAACAAACTCAAACTAAACCCAAGATCTCAAACTTTTCAATCAACCAGAACTTTTCCATTTCCTCCATTCCCATCTCCATTTCCATTTTCTATATTTGAAAGTCCCCTCATCCCCGATTCTCCGTCCCCCCTTTCCACTATCTTTTTCAAGCAATGAGGCTGTCCGTGTTCCCCAAAAAAAAGCCAAAAGAAAAAAGGGGGAAGGGGAAAAGAAAAGAGAAACACTTTACTCTTTTCCCTCTCCCTTTTTCTTTTTCTCTTTTCCCAAAATCGCGACTTTTTTCAACGTTTTCGTATCGGGGAAGAGAGCGATAAAAAGTCAAAAAAAATGAGAGAAAAAGGACCACCCATTGAGTCCTTTTCCCTTTGTATTTGTGGAGTTCTGTTTACCCCAGCTGTTCCCCCTTCTTTCTTTTCCCTTCTCCATTCACTCAGAGTTCCGATTTTCGTCTGTTCCCTTCCCCCCCCCCTTTCCCCTAGAGAACACTGGGCAACAATTGGACGAAGATATTTTGAAAGAGTTGAACTTACAGCCGTTTACAGAAGTTTACAGCCGCCTCACTTACCCGGTCCAAGCTTTTGTGACTCCCCAACTTGCTTCGTTACCCAATCTGGGCAACAATTTGACGAACAGATCAAATTTTAATAAAACTTCTCATTTACGCAGTGCTTCAAATTGACTTGAAGTAAAAATAATGGTCAATACTCGAAATCGTGGAAATTTAGCTGTTAAACAAGTGATCCTGGAACGCATTTCAGCTAGATTTATAGTTATTTCCAAGCTTTTTCTAGTTATTTTCAAGAACTTCCCTAACTTGACCCTGGCGGGTTACTGTAGGAGCGTTCCCTAAAAACGCAAAAAGAACCCAAAAAAACGAGTCATCGCATTGAATGGGGAAAGGGGAAGGAAAGGAAGGGAAGGAAAGGGTCAAATCGGAAGAATCGAAAAAAGAACGGCGGGGGAAAGGTCGATGACAAAGGCCGACGCAAGGGTTGAGGCTGACTATGACTGGCTGACTACTGTCCCTCCCATTTCCCATTTTATCGTCATCTATTCAGCTCGGTGAGTGGTGTGTGCTCCAGCATTACCGAAAAAAACGAAGAATGGGGAATTGCCTGACTAGTTTACTTGAAAAATGCTTAAACTTGAATCGAGGAGTCGATTTTCTGCAAAATCTGAAAAATCGTCATGATTTTGATCTATTCTTTGAAAATGCTATCCAGATCCGCTAGAAATGAGTTTTCTAGAAAGTTTCAACGAAAAAGATCTCTGAATAAGGGGCTGATTCGAGTTTGAGTCATTTTATCGATGATTTCATTGATGACTACTTTTCTAATTCCGGCATTTTCCATCCTGGAATGCATCGAATCGAATTTCGAATGAATAAGGGTACGGTACTAAAACTACTTAGGGCTAGGGGTACTGTAGAGATATCAAAGTGTCTATCAGGCTCCGAATTCCACCAATTCCACGAATTCCCTCACCGTGCATTCCAAGATTGTCAAAAAGCGCAAAGAACTGTTTGGTTCTCTTTTGATTAATAAAATCTCAGTCCCCGAAAAGTCTTTCCCTACCGCCTTGCTGAATCGGCGAGACGAGAAAAAAGCCCGGCAAAAGTAGGCCGACCGAACGAAAGGGGGAAGTAAAAAAAGCCAAAAAAAAGGTGGGGAAATGGAGGGAGAACGGCTGACTGAAAATCGGTCGTAAAAGTGGATCCATTAATTTTCCGATCGAATCTTCAGAGTTTTTTTGGCAACACCTGTCAAGATAAAGAGTGGCGAATTTTTGTGGGGAAAATTGAGAGAGAGATACACGGAGTGATCGACCTTGACAAGAGTACGGTAATTGACGTGGACTTGATAGTTTGTGGCCAAACTACAGTAACCTGAATGAGATCAAGCGCTTTTCTGGAGCTATAGTGATTATCGGGCTATTTTAATGAGATATTCCTTCGATCTGGATAGCACAGCTGAGAAAGATATAGGTAATTTATGCTAATCTAATATTTTGCGACCAAGTTACCGTACCCCCGAATGAGGTCGAGCAATTTTCTGGACCTATAGTGATTATCTGGCTACTTTAACGATAGATTCCTTCGATCTGGATAGCACAGTAGTAACTCGCCGTTTTTCGACTAGACTACAGTAACCCGGAAAGAGATTTGCTAGGTTGGCAGGCAATGAAAAGGCAGCAACTTTTTGCGAAAGGGCTGAGCTGAAAAGTTGAAAATGGGGTGATCGGAGCTGAGCGCTGGTGGCGAATTTCAAAGTGCCGAAGCTTGGGTGTCTAGCCTTGGAGATTAGAAGCGTGTATTCGGCTTAACGGCTTCAGGAACACGATAAAGTCGACCACGATCGACTCGAAGATCAAAAAGGATCTTTTTAAAGTTGCAACTTTTCGAGGTAAATCAATGCGCTCCAGGATCGTTAAAAAGTCGTCAATTTTGCGTAATAAGGAGTGAAATTGGTCGAGAAAAAAACGTGAACTTAAATGAAAAATCAAAGAAAAATGGAACTTAACACGTCACAAGGACAGTTTTCGAATGGGCAGGGCGCTTTCTTGTGGCCGCGAAGCCTATTGATTACATCGTGTGCCAAGCAACGATTGCATTTTGGAGCACTGAAATTGTCGATACAATGGTTGCAATAAAAGTAGCCATGGTTTTAAGCGAAAAGCCAAGATTTCTAAATTCCAGCTTGATTGAGATCTTTTGGCTTTGGCTTTGTCTTGGCTTTGTTTTGGCTTTGGCTTGACTTGGCCTTGACTTGGCCTTGTCTTGGCTTGGCTAATCTTTGTTTTTATCTTTTCCCATTTGACTAACTACGTAAAAATCTATAGATAATCAATTCTAATAAAAAACTTTTTCTCTTCTTTCTATTCCAAATCAGCCTTACCCCCTAAAAGCCTCTATAAACTTTCCCCCAAATAATCTTTCTCAAAAATCTTCTGTCTTCTGTCTTTCCCTTTGTCTGAAAAGAATGCAATATTGAAGTTTTAAGAAGAATTTTCACCAATTCAATCAAAAGCTACAAAGTTCTCGAGACGGAAGCGATTTCTTCACGAAAAACAAGGAAATGAATAAAAAAATGAATGAAAGATGCGTTCGGTTGTAAGTTTTGGACGTCACTTGGCAGGGTGGTGACAAAAACGGGGGTCGATTCGCGAATACAGTGCCCCGACGACACGACGTTACTACTCCCACTGTGCAAAGTTATAGATTTCGATAATTTCTGTGCACTGAATAATGGGGTGACATCCAGCTTGACCAGATCACAGAGTATTTTCAAGTTCCGAACTTCCTGGGTGCTTAGAAACTGTCAAAGTCGGTCCAGAGTTGGTCCCTGAAAATTTGTTGGCTCAAATCCAGCCAGGAAACGACCGAAAAGAAGTGAGTCTATCAAAGATCGAACTAGAGACAGGGAATGTAACCAATGGAGGACAAAAAGAAATCAAACAAAACGCGGGGAGAGGCGAAAGTGCAACATTTTAGACGCGTTTGCTTCGACACACAAAAACACTCGGTCCTTTGAGAGAAGAAGGTTGAAAGAGAACTGAAGACCCTTTCTGGGACGCACAACACCCATTCGACTGTTCAGAAATCGCGAAAGAGAAGAGAAAAGTCGTGTTCGATGTTTACCGAAACAGCTGATTCAAGCAAGGAAACGTTTTTCTTTCGACGAGCAACGATCAGTGTCTCAGTTTGGGGAACTCCGGGCCCCTGATGGCTTCAAGCTTTTCTGTGCCATCCAGGATTTAAGAAATATTCAAGTTTTTGCCTTCAGATCTACAATAGAAGCTAGGAATTTGGTCAAAGAAGAATCCGCTGATTTGGTGAAAATTTTAATTTTTATCTAATTGTCAAAATTTGCATTTAGATTTGTTTTGTGCGTTCCAGCTTGGCGATTTAATTGAAAAACTTGCCGCATTTTCTGCCCATTGACAATTGTTAGTGTCGGCGAACGGACATGCGCCTTCGGCAGCCTAAAGTTTGGAAAAGTGGAAAAGTGGTTTGAGAGATTCAGACTATTACGCTGATCAGAGTACGTCTGAACAGCCAAAATCAATCCAAATTCGAGAAACCCACCGAGAACTCACTTGTCGTCTTGTTTCGATCATTCGACACGCCTTGCATGGGCAGTTCGCCCATCTGAAATTGAAGAATGTTTTTTTGAATTTATTTTCCTCACTTCTGGATGTCACATAACGCTTTGATAAGTTTAGAAATTGGGTTTTACATTCGAAAAAATTTTTTCATTTTGACCTCTTTGAGTTTGAGGCTTAAAAAGCGGAATTTTGTCGGAAATCGAAATTTCTGCTTTGTTCATTTTCCATTCTGGCACGCACGGTTGGGGAATTATTTGGTTAAAGTTTAAAATTTAAAGAATTCAAAATCTAGAAATTTGTTTCCTTCAATTTATTCCACAGGAGCCTCAAAATGATAAAAGTTCCCCAAAAAAAGAATTTAAATGAAAAGTTTGAAAACTTTTGAATGCTCATTTCTTTCTTTGTCTCCATGGGGATATTTAATTGAAAAGAAAAGCCGGAATGAAACAAAAAGAAGATTCTTCCCGACTAATTACTCCTCTTGGGTGGTCGAAATGAAAATAATAATCAAATGATAATTCTATACCCGCCATTCAATTAGAAATAACGAATTTAAAAAAGAAATCGTTGCCTTGGAGACTTGAAAAAGTCTTCAAAAGTCTATTTTCGTACAAAAAAGTCTAATTTTGTACAAAAAAGCTTTCACGACCCTGGGATTTCCATAATTTGAATTCTCTTCTCCAATCCCAATGCCAATTTTGAAATGGTTGTTTGTTTGATGTTGATTTTCTGTTTATTTTCTGTTTCCCCCTTTTGATAGAACTTTTCTTGGCCCATTTGAGTACACCGAAACATCGAAAAACCAGTTTTCATAGAGAAAAGCGAAAGAGTCAAGAGATTTCAAAGTCCCGTTGATTTTTCCTTGAAACATTCGAGATTTAAATTTGCTTCAATAACTTTTCAAAACTATGAAGCTCACAAGAATGATTGCTTGAATAAAAGACGAGCCTTCACCAGATTTCCTCGAAGCAACAGGAGTTGCGTAACTAAACCGGTGCCCAAAAAACCCCTCCAGTGCTGGAAAACCGCGATTTTTGTATGATTCTCACGAAACTGGATGTCATTCTGTAAGCCCAGCTCGTTAAATTTGATTGAATCAAGGAAATTTCGCATTTGGTTTTTGTCAATTTATGATCCCCGAGAAAAGTTGCCGTTCTCATCAATTTCTCATAAAATCAACTGGAGGCTGTTTTCTTGTGGGTGTCACCGGGGAGAATGCCTGGGTGGGATTTGGGATTTGCGCGCAAATTTGGGGGAACTTTTGAGCACAGGAGAAATGAGAGAGAAATAGACGGGGAAAGAGAAAAGTCAAAAAAAGAGAAAACTCGCAACTTCTCAATTTTCTCTTTTCCCTTTGTCATTTCCCTCAAAAACACTCTGCCAAACGTTCGATTGGCCGCTTTTTCTCGCGTTTTGGCTGAACACATCGAACTAGTCAAGTAGGACGCGGACGCGAGGGAAAAATAGGGGAATTTGCGCGGAACAAGGAAATTGAGAAGTTTCATTTGCCGATCTGGATGTCACGAATGAGGAATTTCAAGTCAAAAATCAATTTTCAGCAATTTTGAAAAAGTTGGCTTTTACGTGAAGCTGTCCACTGAGATTTGATAACAAAATTTGACAATAGGAACGACGAATATCGACTTAAACGTCAATCTGGAACGCACTACAGTAACCAAGACAGTCAAAATGCAAATTTTTCAAATCCAAAATTTTTGCAAAGGTCAGAGTTGGGAGCTGGCGGAAAATTTTCGGCTATTTTGATGTTTCAAAAAATTCTCTGAAGCTTTTTGTCAATTCTGGAGGGCACACGAGCGTTTAACATCGAAATCTCTTTTCCATTGTCATTTCTTATATCTTATGTTGACCCACTCCAACATCAACGCTCACACTTTTTACAGAGGTGCGAAAAATTCGATTTTCGGGAAAGAGATCCCTCTAGCTAAAAGCCATCGATCAAACGAAAAGCACGGCGGAAAAAGTGCCGAAAATGGATCGAAATCGGTCGAGAAGTCGCTTGCTTCCCCAAATTTTGATTGATTGGGGTTTCTAGAGTCGGGCAAATCATTTCCATTGTTTATCCGAGTTTTTTGATCATTCTGGAGTGCACAGAGAAGATCTAAAGCCTAATTTCTGGCCCTAGTCAACATTGCTCACAGGTGGATGGCTTGAAACGGACTTAGCTCAAAAATTTCTCTATTTTGATCGGAAAGAAAAATAATTTTCGCATTTTTGTTAATGCTGGATGTCACATAAGAGATCTATTCTCTCAGAAAGTCTTTTCCTCGGAAATTCTTTTCTCGGAGAGTTGCGGTGTTGCCGAAAAGGTAACTTTCTCTGTTTCCAAAGCGCAACTCTCTTCCTCCATAAATTAGGTCAATCAGGGGCCTGCTAGGGTCGTTTCTTTGGCTAGAAATGGAAAAAATAATGATTTAGTAAGCGGTGATTCTTTTCGCAACTTTTCCCTAGAGAAGCCAGCAATCGGGAAAGCTTTTCCTTAAATCAGTTGGAAATCAAAAAGAGTTTGAGTTATTTTCTCGAGAATTACTGAAGTCAGATTTTCAAAAAACTATTCAGCCCTCAATTCTGGATGTCACAGCTTAAAATAGCCCGATTATTTTGGGAGCATTTTGAAAAATGAATTTGGGTAATTGGGTGAAATGACTTCGAGTCAAAATAAAGACAGGGATGGATGGTGGAGAAGTTTTGAGTAAACTCTTGAAAACTATGGATGTCACGACAGTTTAAATGGTAATTATTTTTGGGTTAGGCTGAATTTGGTGTCCCAGAGAACACGCGTTTCTGCGAGCCATAAAACATTCCCCTCCACCGCCCCACTACTTCCTTTCAACAAAAACTCACCGGCAAAACGGTTTGTGGCCTTTTCGGATGGAATACACTCCATGATTGGTACAGCGCTGGCAATAAAATTGCCTCACCACCTTGGGCGTCTCCTCCTGAAACAAGCTTATCATTGAAATAGTACGACTTTTAACTAACAACGAAAAGGCGTCACTCTTTTAAAGCCATCTGATCCTGTGCCTTCCAGATAGTAGCTATGCAAATGTTCAGAGCCCAAGCTCCTTTCTGCACTGACTACAAGGCTCAAAGTCGAATCAACTACAGTAAGATCAACTACAGTACTTGTGCGTTCTCTAAGCTACAAAAATTTGCATAAACGTATCCCGTCTATCATATGATTCTTAAGGTTTCTTGGCGTTTACCTGTGAATTCGTTGAAACCTGTGAATTCGTTGAGTCAAGCGATGGAGTTGGAGAGACGGACAGGCTCAGCACGTCGATATTTTCCTCCGGTGCCGGCGACAAATGCATGTTGAAGAGAGTTCGATTTTAAGCTTAAACGCCAATCTGGAACGCACTACAGTAATCAAGACAGTTAAAATGTAAATTGTTCACAAATTCAAAATTTTGTAAGAGTCAGAGTTGGGAGCTGATGGAAAATTTTGGACTATTTTGATGTTTCGAAAAATTTCTTCAAGCTTTTTGTCGATTCTGGAGGTCACACAAGTGAATAAAGTCGAAATGAGGTGATGGATTCATCAAGAATCCAGCAAGGCCAAGAAACTCAAGAATTAAGTGAAAGTTGAGCTTTTTACTTGTCAAAAGATTTCTTGCTTCAGTAAAATTTCAGATTTCTCAAGAAAAAGGAAATTTTTTCGAAAAGACGGAGTCTTCCTAGCACTTCCTAGCACTTCCTAGCACTTCCTAGCACTTCCTAGCACTTCCTAGCACTCTCCAGAATGTCCACGTCGACCTTAGGACAATCGGCGTTTAAAAAGAGGCAAAAAAATTTAGGCTCAATGGGGAAAAACTATTTGAATCGAAAACTACGGTAGGTTGGTGGCGAATGAATTTAAGATTCTTAAAAATGCCTGTCCTGGAGGTCACGGTAGAGATTGAAATGAAAGTTGGGTTGAAAATTTTGATTTTGAAAAGTAGTTGAGTTAGCTTTAAAGTGCTTCCGACGTAAAAATCGGCCGTATTTTGTAAATTCTCGGAAAATCTCAAAATTCTGAGCGATCTGGATGGCATTGGGGCCAAAGAATAGAAGAAAACTCGAAATCTCGAGAAAGGTTTACATGAGGAAACTGTTGTGTGTAAATGAACCGGGTCGAGTTAAACAAAAGTCATCGGAATGCCGCGTTTTTAAGTGGAAACGCTGTGCTGCGTGCCAGAATGGCCAAAATTTCTTTCAAAGTTTTAGAAAGCTCAAAAAAATTGCTGGAAATCAATGTGAACTCGAAAAGTTGGAAAAATTTTTGCAATTCTTGAAATTTTCGCAACAATTTTTTGAAAGCAAATCTCTGTGAGCTGCATTTTTTGTGAATAGCTGGAAGTTTGAATGGATAAGTCCGAAAATGGGGATTTTAATTTGGGGAGATTTTGTACGGGTCGGCGCTGGAAGTTGGGGATGAATGGGGGAGATGGGCTGAAAAGCTGAATGCTGAAAAGTTCAAATTTCAATCGGGAAATTGTGTCAAAATCTCTGGTGACATCCAGGATCGATGATTCGAGTCTTTTTCGAACAAGTCAGCGACAAAAAACGTGAAAAATTTCGCGCCGAAATTTCCAAGACTTGGAAGGTTTCCTTGAAAAAGCAACTTTGGTAAAAGTTGCTTTGCGGAATCTTTGGCGTGCCATCCAGGATTTAGAAGCGTTTAGATTTTAGAGTCTGCTAATGAACGAGTGAAAAGATATTCAGTCGAACCCAAATTCTCAAAATGTCAAATCAGATTTGAAGGTAGGGGTTCAAAACTCGTTTCGCAATTGGTAGTGTGCTATCCAGGACGGCTAATTGTTAAAGTCGCACTATCTAATAACGGATAAACGCAAAGTTCTCAAGCTAAGCGAAAATGAACGGCCGTTCCTGGGGTTGTGTTTGAAAGGAATGGCTGGTTGAGAGAGGAGGGACTGGGAGGTCTTCCCTTCCCATCGAGGCGCCGCCCCCCGAGAAAGAGCAATGGGGAAAAGAAAGAAATGCGGGGAGAGAGGCGGCAATAAAAAAGCCCGCACGCAGTCATCCCAGCGTCTCTCACCAAAGAATTTTTCCTCTATTTTTCTCTATTCTGCGCTTTTTGATGGATCCTGTGCACTCCAGCATTTCTCGAGAATCTCTCCGTGTTGCCCGTTCGAAAAAAATGAGGCCGAGGATCGAGCCGACTCTCTTTTTCTCTTTTACCTCTCCTTTGAACCCTCTCTACGACCAGAACTTCCTCTTTGGCAAGGGGAACGCCTCCTTTTCGCCGTTTTCGCAACGAGAGACGCAACAAAATATTTCTAGAAGGGAAAGAGTGTAAAGCCAAACGCAACCTACTGAAGGAAAGAATCGATTTCTCAAAGCTGAAGATTTTGAATGAAAATCTTGCCCCCATCAGGGTCTAGTGGCATCAAACTTTACAGAATCGTTTTCCTGGATGTCACACTAGATTTTGGTGGTTAGACGAATTCCGAAAACAATGATTCGAGTTTGACAAGGATTTGTCGAAGAAAATGAAATGAAATGTCCATCTCAGCTCTAGGTACTAGCATAAAGCTGACAAAAGGTAGTTTTTCTGGATGTTGTATAGAAAATTGAAGTCAGACTTCTTGCTTACATTTCTTTAGGAATAGATCTTTGATTGAAGCTTTGCAGGCAACTTTTCAGATCCACAAATGAGCCGAATTCGCCGAGTCTCCAGATTTCGCACGAATTCGGTGCTAAACGCTTTGTATTATCTCTTCTGAAAGCCGTGAATCTCTTTCAAATTCTATTGATCTCCTCGATTGTGAATCATCGGCTTCTTTTGTGTTGCCCTGGAGATTTCATGAGTCTATGCTCTGTCCATCCATCTTCCCTATTCATTTTATCGATTTTCCCCATCGTTGAATAAATGTTGTTACTTGCCAAAAGAAAAATCTAGGAAAAGACTTGAGCAACTACAAGATGAAACCAGAAACTTCTGAACTTGTCATTCAGTTCAAAAAACGGCTTGAATCTTCAAAATATTAGCATTTTATACAAAAGTTCAAAAAAGCAAAAGAATTTGACTTTGGTGGGACTCGAGGAAAAAAAGGCCGAGCAGATCTGAAGCTTTGAAGCTGAATTTTTAAAAACATATTCTTCTGAAGCCCTTCTAACAGCCCACAAAATTTGGACCTGATCCGAGGTGGCAGTTCCTTGGTTAGGATTTCTGAATTGATTGCGACGTTTATCATAGAATCTACTGAAAAGGTGTAGCCGTAATTCTCGCGTCCCCTGCGCATCCTGTGCATGAATACGAGTTGGATATGTTCGTCGAGTATCCGATCTGAACCAGGACGAGACTACAACTTCATGGAAAAACAGACGCTTTTTTGAGTTTATCACTAATGATCCTTATCCAAACACCCCTTAAACGTTAAATTATTAGAGTAATTTGAGGTTTTCAAACATTTCTGCTCTATAAAACAATTTATTCTCAGAAAAACAGCAAAGGTGGTAAGTCGTTATGGCTTCTGAATTGATCATCGCTAATACTTTGGCATTGCATTGCAGGTATGATTGCTTTGGCATGCAATCTGCTGAAAAGGTGTAGCCGTATTCTCGCGTCCGCTGCGCATTCTGTGCATGAACACGAGTTCTGTAGTTGGATATGTTCGTCGAGCGTCCGATCCGAACCAGGACGAGACTGCAACTTCATGGAAAAATAGACGCTTTTTTGAGTTTATCACTAATGATCCTTATCCATTTTCCAGAGCGCTTCTCAATCAATTCCACACGCATCGCAATCCGGGAATCAACGTCAAGAAGTTGTCCGATGATCCGGTTTGTGCTTTTTAAAGCTAGGAACGGCCTCAGAGTCTTTAGGTGAAACTAAGCAGGTTCCGGGCGATCCAGAGACTGTTTATAGAGCAGATCAGCAAGGCCAGGACTGCTTGCCGGTTTACTCTAGTCTTACGAGATCCGGAAAATTTGGCTTTTAAGCTGTTTAAGCTGTTTAAGCCTGTCGATTAGGTTCATTATTTGGCTTGGCCAAAGTTGGTTTGGTTTATCGGTTCAAATAAGATTGGAATTTTGGGTAGCACTACATATTAGGTTGCCGGGAAAATAATACGAATTTTTTTGACCCGACTTTTTATTTCAAAAAAACATTAAATAAAGAGGATTAATATAAAAGGTATTCTCCATTATTACACAAATATATGTACAATTTCTTTACGCAAACGCTGTCATAATACAAAACTTATTCGTCGAGAAAAAAATATAATTGTCAAAACACCCCTGAAAACCGTGGTGCAAAAGTCTTTTAACACAAGACGAAATTAAGCTATAATCAATATTTTGTTGACCCTCCTTTCGGCAAAAGTACTTCTTTAACACGAGTCGGCATCGGTCTAATTAATTCATCAAGAATTCCAGGTCCAATTGTCCTCCAAATTTTTCTGATGTAAAACCATAGCTTGACTTTAGAATTGAAACGTTTTCCTCGCAATTTCGATTTCAAATAGACCCATAAATTCTCGATCACATTTAAATCCGGTGAGGATAGTGGAGCTTCGATCAAAGAAACGTGATTGATCCCAAACCATCCCGGTAAATGTGCTTTTCCTCCATTCGAGAGAGTCAAAACGCGGCCCATCAAAAGTTTGCTTTTGTGTACTGGCGAATTATCTTGATAAAGAAACCATCCTGGATTCATCGAAGTAGACATCTGTCCAATATCTCAATATATCAGCGGGAATCCATTGTTGCCTTTACGAGGACAAGCCTGTTAGACCTGTTGAACTTTTACACATCGCACCTAAAGAAATCACGTTGGGCTGCATAAAAAGAAAATTATCCTTACCGAAACACATAATTGATCCTCCGCCTCTTTTCACCGTAGGTTGCAAGTACTTGAGTTGATATCGCTTTCCGACTGGACATCGGATCAGGTGATTTCTATTTGAAGGAAAAATATCAACTTTTGTTTCATCAACGAAAATCACTCGAGCCCAATCATTGATTGTCTAATTTGAATAGGTTCGAGCAAATTTAAGACGTTGCCTCCTGTGTTTGGCTGTCATCATAGGCTTGCGAGCAGGTCTTCTAGTATGCAACGCTGCTTGAAGCAAGCGTGGATGCAAGGTCCAGCGGGAAATATTCTTGTTTGAAGTTTGTTTTTGTAAGTCAATTTGACCCTTTGTTGGATCATCGATAAAACTTGTTTACCACTAATCTGTTTATAATCGAACATAACCCCTTATTTCATTCCTATTTTTCCTTTTTGTTATTGTGCATTTCTGTTTAAGCTACACTAATCTTTGTTTTTTAGGAATCGAGAAAGAATTCGACCTGCAGTTTTCTCACTTTC